TAACTCAATTTGCTTGTACATGTAGTATTTTTTTTTTTTTTTTTATTATCACACTGGCCGATTCCCACCAAGGCAGGGTGGCCCGAAAAAGAAAAACTTTCACCATCATTCACTCCACATGTAGTATATCAAATCAATTTTCCTCAATGAAATTAATTGAAATGCCATTAATTCATTCCAGCCCTCAGAAAAACCACCCCAGTTTTTTGTTACGGGTTTTTAAATAAAAAATGTATTTATAAATAAGACATATTGTATAAAAACATAATAAAAGAGAATGTAAAGAAATAAACTGGTTTTATGAAGTGTAATTTACCTTGGAGATCGGACGACTTGGGCTAATGGGAGAAGCTGGCGGAGGTAGAGGCTGGAAAAGATAGGCAGAGAAGATAGGCTTTAGTAGTGAAGAGTGTAACAAGTAATTTCAGCAATTAATCACTGAAATTGCTTGCTACACTCTTCATTACTCCACCCACCACCTTCACTACTCCACCCACCACCTTCACTACTTCACCCACCACCCTTACTACTCCACCCACCACCACAACTGCTCCACCCACCACCATCTCTACATCCACCACCATCACTACACCCACCACCATCACTACACCCACCACCATCACTACACCCACCACCTTCGCTACTCCACCCACCACCTTCACTACTCCACCCACCTTCACTACTCCACCCACCACCTTCACTACTCCACCCACCACCCTCGCTACTCTGCCCACCACCATCACTACTCCATCCACCACCATCACTACACCCACCACCTTCACTATTCCACCCACCACCCTCACTACTGCACCCACCACCATGACTACTCCACCAACCACTATCAGTACTCCACCCACCTCAATGCTTCTGGAAAAACTCGGAGTGTTGAAATAGAGGTTACCTCTTCCCCGGGTTTATAGGAGAACCAAACAAGGGACGAGATGCCTCACTACAGTCTGGAATTAGTGTGGGAGTACAGTATTATCTTTCCAGTTACGTCTTGGAAGAGCATGTGGGATAGGATGAAGTACCTGACATTCCTCTGGGTAGAGAGTTGGATTTGACTTCAGATCTTCTTCTTTCAACAAACCGGCCGTATCCCACCAAGACAGGGTGGCCCAAAAAGAAAAACGAAACTTTCTCTTTTTAAATTTAGTAATTTATACAGGAGAAGGGGTTACTAGCCCTTTGCTCGACTTCAGATACGCCGCCAAGTAGTGGCAGCGTGTCTGAAGCTCACATGTAACTTTGATTTTGGCTCACAACTCAAAGCAAAAAATCAACCAAGTGACGGCTCGTAACTCGGAAAACTCATAAGTTGGGGCACTCATAAGTCAAGGTATCACTGTATGTGAGTGGTCAGATAGATGATGATAACTATATACATTGTAGGTAGTAGGTTGGTAGACAGCAACCGCCCAGGGAGGTACTACCGTCCTGCCTAGTGAGTGTAAAACGGAATCCTGTAATTGTTTTACATGATGGTAGGATTGCTGGTGTCTTTTTTTCTGTTTCTTAAACATGCAAGATTTCAGGTACGTCTTGCTACTTCTACTTACACTTAGGTCACACTACACATACATATACAAGCATATATATACACACCCCTCTGGGTTTTCTTCTATTTTCTTTCTAATTCTTGTTCTTGTTTATTTCCTCTTATCTCCATGGGAAAGTGGAACAGAATTCTTCCTCCGTAAGCCATGCGTGTTGTAAGAGGCAACTAAAATGCTGGGAGCAAGGGCCTAGTAACCCCTTCTCCTGTATAAATTACTAAATTTAAAAAGAGAAACTTTTGTTTTTCTTTTTGGGCCACCCTGCCTTGGTGGGATATGGCCAGTTTATTGAAAAAAAAAAAAATATATATATACATGTACAGTGGACCCTCACCTAAAGATATTAATTGGTACCCGAGAACTATTATCATTAGGCGAGTTTTTTAGTGTTAGCCAAGGCAAAAGTTAGCGTTAAAATGTATCGTTAGGCGAATTTAACGTTATGCGATGCGTTCGTTAGGCGAGGGTCCCCTTTATATCGTAACATCATTTCCAGCTATGTGAGCAGCCAAGGATCATGATTTCTTAATACATACATGTATCATTGTAGCATTTCTAGTGAAAGATTACTAAAAACCGTTAACAGATTTATGAGGATATTGAGGCTCAGTTTAGGGTATGATAGAGAGGGAGATTATTTTCCGGTAAAGTAGACCTGTCTGACCTATCATGTCTGAGCACCTCTGCAACATACCCTGCCTCAGCGGGAAACAGCCATGTTAAAAAAAGAAAGTAGACTTTGGACAAGGATGCATGAAGTCACCATGGTTGTTTAATACTGGACTCAGATATGAGATATGCACCTTACTACATGTACACCTAGAATGGAACCAGCTTATAAATAACAACCAGCACTGATTCATGGAAGGTAAATCCTGTGTCACAAACCTACTGGAATTTTATGACAAGGTAATGGAAATAAGACGAGAGAGAGGGGTGGGTAGATTGCATTTTCTTGGACTGCAAGAAGGCCTTTGACACAGTTCCTCACAATGCAGTGCAAGGGCACTGCATTGGATCAGAGAATATCTGACAGGGAGGCAACAATGAGTCACGGTGCGTGATGAGGTATCACAGTGGGTGCCTGTGACGAGTGGGGTTCCACAGGAGTCAGTCCTAGGACCAGTGCTATTTTTGGTATATGTGAATGACATGATGGAAGGGTTAGACTCAGAAGTGTCCCTGTTCACAGATGATGTGAAGTTAATGAGGAGAATTAAATCAGATGAGGATCAGGCATGACTACAAAGAGACCTGGACAAGCTGGATGCGTGGTCCAGCAACTGGCTCCTCAAATTTAACCCCACCAAATGCAAAGTCATGAAGATCAGGGGAGGGCAAAGAAGACTGCAGACAGAGTATAGGCTAGGTGGCCAAAGACTGCAAACCTCACTCAAGGAAAAAGATCTTGGGGTGAGTAAAATACTGAGCACATCTCCTGAAGCACACATCAACCAGATAACTGCTGCAGCATCTGGGCGTCTGGCAAACCTGAGAATAGCATTCCGATACCTCAGTAAGGAATCGTTCAGAACTCTGTACACCGTGTATGTCAGGCCCATACTGGAGTATGCAGCACCAGTTTGGAACCCACACCTGGTCAAGCACGTCAAGAGGATAGAGAGAGTGCAAAGGTTTGTAACAAGGCTAGTTCCAGAGCTAAGGGGAATGTCACACGAAGTAAGGTAAAGGGAAATCAACCTGACGACACTGGAGGACAGGAGGGTTAGAGGAGACATGATAATGACATACAAAATACTCAGAGGAATAGATAAGGTGGACAGAGATAGGATGTTCCAGAGATGGGACTCAGAAACAAGGGGTCACACTTCAAAGTTGAAGACTCAGATGAGTCAAAGAGATGTTAGGCAGTATTCTTTAGTCATAGAGTTGTCAGGAAGTGGAATAGTCTGGCAAGTGATGTAGTAGAGGCAAGAACCATACATAGTTTTAAGACAAGGTATGATAAAGCTCATGGAGCAGGGAGAGAGAGGACCTAGTAGCGATCAGTGAAGAGGCAGGGCTAGGAGCTATGTCTCGACCCCTGAAATCACAAATAGGTGAGTACATCCTGTACAAGTGTGTGAGGGATGAAGAAACATCATACTCATAGTTGTCTTAGATGCAAGAAAATATCATATAAGTAAAATAAAATAAAATAGCTTAAAATAAAATCTCTATTTCTATTAAACAGACATAGTAGTTAAAGTAGTTAGATTTACATATGTAGTTAGAGTTTTGATACATATACAGTTTAATATAAATGTATGTTCAAAAGAAAGCCTCTAATTATGTGAAGCATTTCAGGCAAACTGATCCCAAGACTTCCATACTACTTAATCATAATCAGATAGTATAGTCAGAGAGCATAGTCAGAGAGCATAGTAAGAATAAGTGGAAATGATTATCAGAATGTGCACATGGAGACAAGTTGTGACTTCAGTAGCTGGCATCCAAACTTTGTACATTGATCTGACAAATAACCCAAATAACTGAATGTAAATAATGCAGACTAACGGAAATGGTACTAGACATTGTAAGCATGATACTGCTCATCATTACTCTAACTCTGCACCAGCCTGTTAACAATGAAATTCATTTAACAGAGATATAAAGACAATATGGCTCTGAAACTGCTGTTGGCTTTTGCAGACAAGCCTCTTTGGGGGTTCTGGTTGTCTTCTACATGATCCAATAGCTGTACTACACACACTAGTCTTAAGCTGTCAATGATCAGTTAAGTTTCATGCCCATGAAGATAAACTTTAAAAAGACTTGAGCTTAATAGCTTCGTCTTTTTTTTTTTTATCAAATTTCTAAACTATGAATGTAGGTTGATAACTTGTTTTTGAAGGTTTTTAGAAAACCATTTTTCTCAGATTTGATGTTCCTTTGTGACTATTTTTTGCTCTCCCCTAACTTAGTTTCACTGTTAAGTATGTTTGATCCATAGTACACCTACCGTCCGACTTACGACCGAGTTCGGTTCCGAGAAACCGGTCGTAAGTCAAAATGGTCGTAAGTCGAACTTTACTACTGAATATCAACAAAACATTTTTGTAATGACTTTATTTTATTGTTTTATTTTGGTATTTCATGTTTTACTTTACTTTTTATGCTGTTAGTACTGTATTTTATACTGTAAGGTTTAGGATAAACACTGTGCACAACACAAATAGTTGTTATTTCCTAGAAATTTGGCATAAAAAACACGGTCGTAAGTCGAGTGGTCTTAAGTCGAGCAGGTCGTAAGTCGGATGGTAGGTGTAACTTATTAAAAGGATGAAGGATTTTCAAGTAAAGTTTTTTACTTACGTGCTTATGTAAATATTAGTTGTGTTAAACACTACAAGAGACAGTATCATTTCATAAATCCTTAGTTGCTTGCATGATACTATTATTTTTTGTTATACATTGCTTTATTATTTATCATTTTGTTAACAGGCGTTGTGAAGACCCAAACAGCCGTCACTGAGAGACATCGGACACCAGGTGAGACAAGAGCACGTAAACTGGGAGTTAATATTGTTCTGTCATACATATTTTAAAGGAATATTTTTTATATTGTACATTTTGTATGGTAAAGAATAGACAGTGTGTTTAATAACTTGATATACATATCTAAGTTTTGTCTCTAATTGTTGGTTTGTATAGCTTTTCTTGTTTGCTACACAAACACAAATTTCTTGGTGTACCTCGGTAAAGGGTTTCTGTTTTTGTTTTGTTCATTACTTCTGTTTTTTTACTCATGTGTTATTACATTCATCCTTCTCTAACCATACCATGGGCGGGATTTGAACCCGCGGTCAGAGTCTCAAAACTCCAGACCGTCGCGTTAGCCACTGAGACTCTCTGACCGCGGATTCAAATCCCGCCCGTGGTATGGTTTGTTTGCAGTCGTGTCATTATGATTTCGTGAGTCATCCTTCTCTAAATTTTAAGATTGCAGATTTTCCAAACTTGCAGAGCAAATGATTAAACAGCAGCAGCTGAAATAAATCCTGTGAAAAAGGCATTGTGACTATATTACCTACATAGCTACATCAGATTTCATTGTTGTATATTGTGAGTAGCGGACTATGGTATATTTTTAATGTAAGAGTCATGTCCATCAAGTAATATTGTCTCCCCAAGTTAGGCTAATGTAAGAATATTAACCAAGATTCAAGTGTTATAAAAATTTTACAACATACAATGCTTGTCTAAACATATTGCAGAAACATGTTTTATTTATATAAATTATGTTTTTTCTTAATTGGACATCTCCTAAAGGTTAAATATTGACATTTGACACATTCAGTGGTCTGTTGGAAGAAATCCCTTGAAGATCATCGGTTAATCTAATTAATGAAATTACTCCTTTTTATTTATCTTAAGGTGATTCATCAGTATAATAATGAGTATTATTACTTTAGTTCAGGTTCTTAATGATGAAGAATAAAGAAAACATGAAATTTTATGATGTAACTCTGACTTATTTTTTATCTTGGAATTTAAAGTTAGCATGATCAGTTTTTTTATTATTATTGTCAATTAATGACATAATATGAACTAATAAATGATATCCATAATTTACAGGACATTCAAATAAACAAAATTTACTTTAAAAGCATGCATAAACACAGTTCAATAATCTGAAAATCCCATAGTATGCACAACACTGCAGGTAAATTTAAAGATTTAATGCTAGTTAATGGTATTAGTTTACCTGGTTGAGTTGCTTAAAACTAGGACTTAACACTACTTGATATTACATAGTCAAGAACTAGATTATTTAAATGCTAAACTTAATTAATATGATATGTTATATGAAGAGATACTAATCCTTATTAGATTTCCAATTTTGGTTAACCCTTTGACTGTCGCAGGCCCCTTTCTGAAACTGTCATTTTATGTCGCAAAATTTTTGAAAAAAAAAAATTATTTTTTCTTATGAAATGATAGAGAATCTTCTCCCGATGGTAATGACACCAAAAGTTCGAAATTTGGTCAAAAACTCAGGGAATTACACTCCCACGAAGTTAGCGGTCTCAGCGACATATACATATCGGCGATTTCGCCGACTTTGAGCCCTGTTTTTAGCCAATTTCGTTGTTCCAGTTGACCAAACTCATAGCTATTTCTTTAGAACTCCATTTTATCTATCAGTTGAGTACAAGAAACCGCCCATTTACTGATTTGAACTACCCAATAAAGTGGTCAGAAATTGGCAATTTGGCCAATTTCACGCAAATAAAAAAAGATGCCAATTTGAAAATAGGGTCCAGAATAAACAAGGTAGACATTCTTGGCACTAAAATAACATATCCTCTGTTCATTAGTCACATCTCTAGGCCCCTCTTATATTACTATTGCTTTCTATTTTGATTTTTATTCATACAAAAAATACAAAATTTACTGGTATGCAGACTACTGCATTATTTTAAAAATGGTATAAATAATATCAGTGCACTAGTGAAAGAATATTAGACTCCCCAGTTGACGTGTATTGGACGTGTGGTGTGATTTGCTTACTCCTGAACATTGGTAAAAATCAAACATTTCCGCTACTTTGAGCTCAGTTTCAAGGTCGTTTTCATCGTGAAAGTAATGAAAATCATCTCTATTTCTGTAATATGTTTTCCATTTTATCACCTAAGACTATGAAAACGAGAATACAACGATAAATACTATACGAAAATACACCTCAAAGTCTGCGTTTTATTAAAAAAAAAACGGTCAGAGTTTTTTTTTCTCATTACGCACTGCATGCTGCAGGATTTTTTTTATGTGGTGCACACTAACCACACAGACCCATTCTCTCACATGTGGGCCTACCAGGTTTCTCCTGCTTGATTTGAAGCCGCTAGAATTTATGAGTACGTATATATACGTCAGAAACAGTGGCGCGTAAGATGTATTTATACGGCGTAAACAGTCAAAGGGTTAAAATAATTATTATAATTATATTATTATATCAATTATAAAATATCCGTATCAGTCAGTGGATAGATACTTCAGGCAGTTTCCTCATAAGGTTGGGTAGTAATGGTTCACTAGGCTACATGTATGTAATCTACCTTCATAGTTTATTGTTCCATGTCTGTGGAGAATTAAGGAAATATTGCAGTATTGTATTCATGTGATGGAAAGCTGACTTGTGATTTTGGGGAAAAGCTTACCTGTGATGAAAGTTAAGACACATGTGCAACATCTGGTTATCTTTATTGTAGACGTTTCGCCATCCAGTGGTTTTAAAGCCACTGGATGGCGAAACGTCTACAATAAAGATAACCAGATGTTGCACATGTGTCTTAACTTTTATCTTGTTGGTATTGTATACCTTTCTTGCACAACTTGCCTGTGATTTTTGGAGAAAACTTTGCTTGTTTTGATCATAATTTTTGATGTATGTACCTACATTGTAAATATTTTTGTTGGAGTAGTATGTATAATCTTTGACATAAAATTCAGTGATGGTTATTATGTTTCATTTTCATAAGTTTGCACATTAGTGATTAAGACCCTGGATAAGTTCTCAGCACTCACAAGAAGTCACCCAATACAGCATAAATAATGAAGTAAGACAGGTGTTTAGTACAGTATAATGATGGTTGTATATTTGTCTATGTACAATATAGTGTTACCTCTATGTTCTTGTGCAGTTTGTAAGTTTATCTTTCTCTGTACACATTGAGCTGTACAAAATGAGAAAGCAAGTGGACAGAACTTAGAAATACAGGTAAGTGTAAGCCCAACATGGATTGAAAAATAAAACAATGTGTAGAAAGGATATGCATATTCTAGGTAGCCTCTTGGGCAGGTCTCTGGTCATCTGAGCAGGTCTCTGGTCATCTGAGCAGGTCTCTGGTCATCTGAGTGGGTCTCAGGTCATCTGGGCAGGTCTCTGGTCATCTGGGCAGGTCTCTGGTCATCTGAGCAGGTCTCTGGTCATCTGAGTGGGTCTCTGGTCATCTGGGCAGGTCTCTGGTCATCTGAGCAGGTCTCTGGTCATCTGAGCAGGTCTCTGGTCATCTGAGCAGGTCTCTGGCCATCTGAGCAGGTCTCTGGTCATCTGAGCAGGTCTCTGGTCATCTGAGCAGATCTCTGGTCATCTTGAGTTACACTTTATGCCATCATCTGTAACAACTAGTTGGAGAATAGTAACATCTATTTCTCATATTAATGATATATAATATTGACAAGATGCTTTAGACACATGCAACACCTGGATATATTTATTTTATTTCAAAATTAAGATACCTAGGTGATGAACATGTTTACTCATAGTTATTCCTGGTGTTCAAATATTGTGTAGAGAGTTTCATTTTTGCTTTTTACATTAATGAATTGACAGGTGAAGAGATGTTATTCTACATAGCTCATTTCAAAGCCTAATTCCATTTAATGTATACTGGCACATCCATGTGCTGCCACCCATGGTAGTCAGTTAACACTGTTGTGAACAGGTGTAAGGAAACCTACCTGCAAACCATCTAGTTTGGTGGACCATCACAAACATGCAATTTGTATGCTTCAAAATTATTGCTGATTGACAACTCGGCATATGGAATTTTCTTCCTAGTTCTCTGGGTCTTGGTGAAGAGCCCTTGATCCAAGGATCTGGAGCTACCCTTCCCTTTCGTAGATCAAATGCAATACCCTCCAGTTTCCCAGATACTGCAGGACTACTGCAGTCTTAACACTTCCCCATGAATAAAATAATTTGCTCAGTGAATATAGAGGTGATTTTATAATGTGCATTAATTTCCGAAGATTTCTCTTGATGCCTAAAGTATAGAAATTAGAACACATTTCTCAATTTACAGTTTTATACAATATTCTTCAAAAATATTTCTGCTACTTTCAAATGATATTTGACTTTATCAGGTATGAGTGGCAGTGAAAGAATAAGAGCACGGTTGGAGCAGTTAGATACATTAGACGAGATGAGTGGAGGTGGTGTGGTGCGTGAAGTTGGAGGACTCACCCAGGAGGAGTTTACTCATCGTTTAAATGGCCTAAAACAAGAGTTGACTGAGGCGTGGCAATCTGATCAGCGTGTTAAAGCTCTCAAGATAGCTATCCAGGCTAGTACAATGCTATAATTTTGTGTTATAATAAGCATGTGTACTGTACAGCACTGGGTGCTTAACTCCAAAATGATCTTTTTGGGTGAACCCTTAAGCTAAATCATCAACGGGTAGTGTTTATAGCGTAGAGATTTGTCATTTTTCCACCACGTTACATTTGTTGTAAAATAACATACTAGAAATACTTCTTTTAAAACTTGATTGATACTATTACACTATCACATTAAAGAATGAGGGAGAATTCCTGCAATTACTGTAGGATTTTGGACATGCAAGTGAGTGGCATTTATAGAATCATAGCCATAGAAACTTAATATTAATATTAATCTGTTTTAGAACAGTGTTATGTGAGAGGCTGTATTCCATTTACAGTATTTTCTCTTTTAGGATTTTCTTTATACAGTATTGTAATTTTTGTATAAACATCATATTACTGTCTTTTGTCTGTCTCATAAATATGCAAGATTACAGGCATGTCTTGCTACTTCTACTTACACTTAGGTCACACTACACATACATGTACACATTTATTTATACACACTCATCTGAGTTTTCTTTGATTTTATCTTAATAGTTCTTGGTCTTATTACTTTTCCTTTAATATCCATGGGGAAGTGGAATAAGAATCTTTCCTCCGTAAGCCATGCGTGTTGTAAAAGTTAACTAAAATGCCGGGAACAATGGGCTAGTAACCCCTTTTCCTGTAAAGATTACTAAAAAGAATAAGAAGAAGAAAATTGTCAAAGTGGGAAGTCTGAATGTGCGTGGATGTTGTGCAGATGATAAGAAAGAGATGATTGTGGATGTTATGAATGAGAAGACGCTGGATGTCCTGGCTTTAAGTGAAACAAAGCTGAAGGGGGTGGGAGAGTTTCAGTGGAGAGGAATAAATGGGATTAGGTCAGGGGTTTCAAATAGAGTTAGAGCTAAAGAAGGAGTAGCAATAATGTTGAAGGATAAGCTATGGCAGGAAAAGAGGGACTATAAATGTATTAATTCAAGGATTATGTGGAGTAAAATAAAGATTGGATGTGAAAAGTGGGTTATAATAAGCGTGTATGCACCTGGAAGAGAGAAGTGTAGAGGAGAGAGAGAGATTTTGGGAAATGTTGAGTGAATGCGTGGGGAGTTTTGAATCAAGTGTGAGAGTAATGGTGGTTGGGGATTTCAATGCTAAAGTGGGTAAAAATGTTATGGAGGGAGTAGTAGGTAAATTTGGGGTGCCAGGGGTAAATGTAAATGGGGAGCCTTTAATTTAGCTATGTGTAGAAAGAGATTTGGTAATAAGTAATACATATTTTATGAAAAAGAGGATAAATAAATATACAAGGTATGATGTAGCACGTAATGAAAGTAGTTTATTAGATTATGTATTGGTGGATAAAAGGTTGATGGGTAGGCTCCAGGATGTAAATGTTTATAGAGGGGCAACTGATATATCGGATCATTATTTAGTTGTAGCTACAGTTAGAGTAAGAGGTAGATGGGAAAAGAGGAAGGTGGCAACAAGAAGTAGGAGGGAAGTGAAAGTGTATAAACTAAGGGAGGAGGAAGTTCAGGTGAGATATAAGCGACTATTGGCAGAAAGGTGGGCTAGTGCAAAGATGAGTAGTGGGGGGTTTGAAGAGGGTTGGAATAGTTTTAAAAATGCAGTATTAGAATGTGGGGCAGAAGTTTGTGGTTATAGGAGGGTGGGGGCAGGAGGAAAGAGGAGTGATTGGTGGAATGAAGAAGTAAAGGGTGTGATAAAAGAGAAAAAGGTAGCTTATGAGAGGTTTTTACAAAGCAGAAGTGTTATAAGAAGAGCAGAGTATATGGAGAGTAAAAGAAAGGTAAAGAGAGTGGTGAGAGAGTGCAAAAGGAGAGCAGATGATAGAGTGGGAGAGGCACTGTCAAGAAATTTTAATGAAAATAAGAAAAAATTTTGGAGTGAGTTAAACAAGTTAAGAAAGCCTAGGGAAAGTATGGATTTGTCAGTTAAAAACAGAGTAGGGGAGTTAGTAGATGGGGAGCTGGAGGTATTAGGTAGATGGCGAGAATATTTTGAGGAACTTTTAAATGTTAAGGAAGAAACAAAGGCAGTAATTTCCTGCACTGGTCAGGGAGGTATACCATCTTTTAGGAGTGAAGAAGAGCAGAATGTAAGTGTGGGGGAGGTACATGAGGCATTACGTAAAATGAAAGGGGGTAAAGCAGCTGGAACTGATGGGATCATAACAGAAATGTTAAAAGCAGGGGGGGATATAGTGTTGGAGTGGTTGGTACTTTTGTTTAATAAATGTATGAAAGAGGGGAAGGTACCTAGGGATTGGCGGAGAGAGCATGTATAGTCCCTTTATATAAAGGGAAAGGGGACAAAAGAGACTGTAAAAATTATAGAGGAATAAGTTTACTGAGTATACCAGGAAAAGTGTACAGTAGGGTTATAATTGAAAGAATTAGAGGTAAGACAGAATGTAGGATTGCGGATGAGCAAGGAGGTTTCAGAGTGGTTAGGGGATGTGTAGATCAAGTGTTTACATTGAAGCATATATGTGAACAGTATTTAGATAAAGGTAGGGAAGTTTTTATTGCATTTATGGATTTAGAAAAGGCATATGATAGAGTGGATAGAGGAGCAATGTGGCAGATGTTGCAAGTATATGGAATAGGTGGTAAGTTATTAAATGCTGTAAAGAGTTTTTATGAGGATAGTGTGGCTCAGGTTAGGGTGTGTAGAAGAGAGGGAGACTACTTCCCGGTAAAAATAGGTCTTAGACAGGGATGTGTAATGTCACCATGATTGTTTAATATATTTATAGATGGGGTTGTAAAGGAAGTAAATGCTAGGGTGTTCGGGAGAGGGGTGGGATTAAATTTTGGGGAATCAAATTCAAAATGGGAATTGACACAGTTACTTTTTGCTGATGATACTGTGCTTATGGGAGATTCTAAAGAAAAATTGCAAAGGTTAGTGGATGAGTTTGGGAATGTGTGTAAAGGTAGAAAGTTGAAAGTGAACATAGAAAAGAGTAAGGTGATGAGGGTGTCAAATGATTTAGATAAAGAAAAATTGGATATCAAATTGGGGAGGAGGAGTATGGAAGAAGTGAATGTTTTCAGATACTTGGGAGTTGACGTGTCGGCGGGTGGATTTATGAAGGATGAGGTTAATCATAGAATTGATGAGGGAAAAAAGGTGAGTGGTGCATTGAGGTATATGTGGAGTCAAAAAACATTATCTATGGAGGCAAAGAGGGGAATGTATGAAAGTATAGTAGTACCAACACTCTTATATGGGTGTGAAGCTTGGGTGGTAAATGCAGCAGCGAGGAGACAGTTGGAGGCAGTGGAGATGTCCTGTTTAAGGGCAATGTGTGGTATAAATATTATGCAGAAAATCCGGAGTGTGGAAATTAGGAAAAGGTGTGGAGTTAATAAAAGTATTAGTCAGAGGGCAGAAGAGGGGTTGTTGAGGTGGTTTGGTCATTTAGAGAGAATGGATCAAAGTAGAATGACATGGAAAGCATATAAATCTATAGGGGAAGGAAGGCGGGGTAGGGGTCGTCCTCGAAAGGGTTGGAGAGAGGGGGTAAAGGAGGTTTTGTGGGCAAGGGGCTTGGACTTCCAGCAAGCGTGCGTGAGCGTGTTAGATAGGAGTGAATGGAGACGAATGGTACTTGGAACCTGACGATCTGTTGGAGTGTGAGCAGGGTAATATTTAGTGAAGGGATTCAGGGAAACCGGTTATTTTCATATAGTCGGACTTGAGTCCTGGAAATGGGAAGTACAATGCCTGCACTTTAAAGGAGGGGTTTGGGATATTGGCAGTTTGGAGGGATATGTTGTGTATCTTTATATGTGTATGCTTCTAGACTGTTGTATTCTGAGCACCTCTGCAAAAACAGTGATAATGTGTGAGTGTGGTGAAAGTGTTGAATGATGATGAAAGTATTTTCTTTTTGGGGATTTTCTTTCTTTTTTGGGTCACCCTGCCTCTGTGGGAGACGGCCAACTTGTTGAAAAAAAAAAAAAAATTACTGTATTTAAATTTTCAGTTTGCATTCTCATGTCCACCTTTTTCCTGGTTACATCAAGAAAATATATTTTGTATGAGACACCTTGGATTATGCTTAAATGTTCAAGTACAGTACTCTACTGTATTTTATTCATGCTGTGAAATGAGAATACCATTGGGAAGAGCTATCAGAGGATGATATGTTAAAGATGACCAGCCACCAGGAGCAGGAGGATGAGGATGAGCAGCCCAAAGCCACACCTGCAGCCATTGTTAGGTCAGCCAATGAGGAGAAGGCTTAGTCAAATCCTGATGACCTACTCTCATCTTGACTGTCTATGTAATCTTTCTGGGCTTTTCTTCACCAGGCTTACATGAGATTAACACTACAACAACAGGAAAAAATATCTAGTTTTATGCAAAAAATATAATTGTAATATAGTTTTCCCTTCAATGTAATGTAAGTTTGTGTCATTTATTAATCATTATATCAAATGCATATTTCTAGAGCATGTTTATTTTTGTTAAAATCTGCTTAATATTATAAACTTTCTATTTCATTCCCCTCCAACCCAAACCTTTATTTTCCAGTGACTCTGTAGTTAATTTTAAATTTTTTTTGTGAGAATTTTTAAAGAACAAACACTCTGAGAAGAGTGAGATCATACTCTATACTTACTTGCGACTCTTTCGGTATGAAATGTTAGATATGAGTGGAAACTAGAGTGGAGCATTGTATTTTAATACTTGTTTTTTAATCTGACAGTGTGTGAAGTTACTAAGCCTTTCTGTCCCAGAGCATTTCTACCCTAGTAAGTTTGTTCTGGTGATAGATATCCTGGACACATTGGCTTCACTTGTCTATCAGCGACTCAAATTCAAGTCCCAGAGTGAGAAGTAAGCATAGTTAATAAAATATTAATTTGTTAAAAATATAGTAAGGTTTAAATACTATTCATTAACTTTGTTTAATCAAATATTTTCTTTCTTCTTCTTTCAGCAAACTGGCGGCAGTTTGGTTATTTAGAGAGAATGGATCAAAGTAGAATGACATGGAGAGCGTATAAATCTGTAGGGGAAGGAAAGTGGGGTAGGGGTTGTCCTCGAAAAGGTTGGAGGGAGGGGGTAAAGGAGGTTTTGTGGGTGAGGGGCTTGGACTTCCAGCAAGCGTGTGTGAGTGTGTTAGATAGGAGTGAATGGAAATGAATGGTATTTGGGACATGACGAGCTGTTGGAGTGTAAGCAGGGTAATATTTAGTGAAGGGATTCAGGGAAACCGGTTAAATATTTTTATATAGCCGGACTTAAGTCCTGGAAATGGGAAGTACAATGCCTGCACTTTAAAGGTGTGGTTTGGGATATTGGCAGTTTGGAGGGATATGTTGTGTATCTTTATACGTATATGCTTCTAAACTGTTGTATTTCTGAACACCTCTGCAAAAACAGTGATTATGTGTGAGTGAGGTAAAAGTGTTGAATGATGACGAAAGTATTTTCTTTTTGGGGATTTTCTTTCTTTTTTGGGTTACCTTGCCTCGGTGGGAGACGGCCGACTTGTTGGAAAAAAAAAAATGTGTGTGTGCCCTCAGGACCATTGTTAAAAATTTAGATAATATTTTTAATAATTTTAGAGCTTTCTTAAAAGTTAGTTTTACCTAGAGCAAAGTTTTGATTAAATTTGGTCTGCAAAGGTCCCAGTCTACTTTTTGGGAAGAAGTTTGTAAAGTTGAATTGCTTTTTTTTTTTTTTTTTTTTTTTTTTTTTTTTTTTTTTTTTTTTTTTTTTTGTGATATCTGAGTGTCACATCTGATAAGATTCAACCCTTCTAAGCTGATAACTTGATAATGCAACTTCTGAGTGGCTTCAAGCTTAATCTGCTTGTGTATTTTAGGATGTTGGTCTCTTTAAAAGGTTTAAATTAGAGTTGGACTGTGTAATATTCTAATTTATTATTTTGATTGAAGAAATTTGGATATTCATTTTCATATTATGACTTGAATGCCTCTTCTGATTTTCATCAAATCTTCAACTGTAATATTCATCTGCATTTTCAACTAAAATGTGACTAAAATGCTGGGAGCAAGGGCTAATAACCCCTTCTCCTGTGTAAAAAATATAAAAGCTTAATAGTTATAATCATAACTATAATATTTTTTAAGGAGTGGAGCAGTAAGCAAGCGGAAGGCCTCTGTCAGATGACCAAACGCTCCAGCTACGGGTCATCATTGACTAAGACCCACATCATGAAACACTTTTCCTATATCCTGATAAACCTTACTTAACCTAATCTAATCCTATATAAATTACTAAATGTGAAAAGAAGATAAGCTTTATAAGCTTCTCTTCTTTTTCGAGTCACTCTGCCTTGGTGGGAGACGACGAGCATGTTGAAAAATAAAATAATCTACTACACAGTGCACTATTCCAATCACTTGCTCTAAGGCTCAGTGGACTGGGGATATGAAATGCAAGGATGCCTTTCTCAGATCTCACAGCAAATGAGAAACATACACTATTGCTGGTTTTTGTGTATTATCTAGACTAGTGGTTCCCAAATGTTTTTGTCCATGGCCTACTGTAACCACATCTTCCTTATAACCCAGATAATACTAGTACCTTCTTAGTGCCCCAGCAAATTTCTAGAGATGTTTAAAGAAAACATTTGTAAATAAATTAAAGGCATAATCAGTCAACTTCCAACTTTATGTTGAGTTGTCATAGTGGTTTAAGAAATAAATATATAGACTTTCTCATCTTTACATTCTGTTGTTCTCATTATAAGCTTTCAGGTTATTTTCTAGCTCTTAATATTAGACTGCTCTCTTTAGTTTTCCAGTTGGTGGCAGTGACACTGGAAAATTGGAAGCTCAGGAGACAACTCGAAACTGGTTTTACAAAGTGGCTTCTATCAGAGAACTCCTGCCAAGGCTTTATCTTGAAGCTGCCCTCTTGCCTTGTTACTCCCTTATCAATGTTCAGTAAGTCTGCATGTTGATATAGATATTATTGCATATTATTGATATAGGTATTACTGCAATTCCACGAATGTTTATAATCATACATAAACATTTTATCAGATCAACCAGGCTGATAGCTATGTTGGTTTGTGGTCTGCTGGCAGCAACAGCTTGATTTATCAGGCAGTCAATGAGGAAGTCTGGCCTCAAGACAGGTGTAAGGATAGAAACCAGTGACACACATGTTGTGAGCAGGTGCTTGGTTCTGGTATGTCCCTTCACACCCCTGATGATAATTTAGTACCTGCTCATCTTCAACCTCACATACATACATACACATATCTACATTTCAGTAGAGTGATCACGTGTCAATGTTGCTGCCCAAAATTAAAAGCCCATCACAGTAGTCACCATGGACTTGTACTCTCAGACTGCAGGATTGAATTCTGATCACTCCACTGAATTGTGTTTTACTACAGATTTCAGCTTATATCCTGTATCAATATATTGCATTTATATTTTTGTTTCTGAACCAGTTTAGTCCCACTAGTATTAGAGTCTAGTACATCTAAATATGGCTGCTTTTAATCATTTCCCATTTTCTCTTACATGCCAGAAGGTACAAATCAAGTTTGTACAAGTTAAGGGTTACAAGAAAGTTTGCTTTCCAGCACTATTGGACTATGTTGTTTTGACAACATAATGATGGGCTGTGTGCAGTACTTACATCTTACTAGAGTTGAAATAAGTCTTGAAAATTGTATCTCAGAATGCTCTAATTAAATCCTCATTTTTTTCTATTATCTTTTTCCCTTCATTTCAGACTGTAAGAATCTAATAATAATTGATGGAGATTTTCATATGAATACAAAACATTGTTTGCTTTTTATCTTTGTCTTAAAAAGTTGTAGTTTTAAGTACTGCACATTTTTTATTAAAGAGTTTTGACTTACACCATTGATAGTACAAATACACTGCCAACCTTTTCTTCACATTGTTCACAATTCTGAAAAGGTGTACTGTACCAATACACTAACTTTAGTCAGGTGATGTCTAGTCTTTATTTTCTAGAATGAGGAAAAATGAAATAAAATGAGTGAAGAGCCAGAAGTGAGAATGAAGGCAGTGAGTGAGACAGTGAAATGAATCAAAGTGAGTATGAAGCAAAGCAGCAAGGATAGATAGAATTTAAACTGAAATGCTGAAAGTAGAAAGTGTTAGAATATTTAATGCTTTTGTATGAAGGAAGGAAATGTAGACTACCTAAATACTGACAGATAGCATGTCTGGTTCCTCTGTATAAGTAAAGAAAATAAATTGAGGTAAGAGAGTGCAAGAATTATAGGGATCTCAATTTGTGAAAGTGAATGGTACAGCCGTGTTTCATATTGACTGAAAAGACAAATTGAGATTGCAGAAGAACAAAGTAGTCGTCAGAGGAAATTAAGTATAGATTAAGTGTTTGCACTGAAACACAAGTGAGCAGTTTTAACATAATAACAAGAAAATGAAGATATTATATGTGATTAACAAGAAGGGATAAATGCGACTTATTCCACTGAGTCTTTCAGTGATCTGTGTTAGAGAGAATCAGGTTTCAGACTTCATAGTTAATAATCATTGTGCATTTATTTACAGAGAAGGTGAACAGGCTCTGTCAAGATTATCACGAATGATCCGAGGAATTGGTGATCCTCTGATGGCTGCTTATGCACGGATGTATGTGTGTCGCATGGGCTTTGTGATCGCACCCACACTTACTCAACACATTTCTGAAAGCATAGAAGATTTTCTGCATGCTCTGAAACAGGTATTTTCAAACCTTTTAAAGAGTTTTAAAATGCTAATGAGTATGAAGTTTTCAAGCTTGCTAATATTCTTAAGTTATTAGAATTTCTAGTACAGTGGTACTTTGACTTATGAGTGCGCCAACTTACAAGTTTTCCGAATTACGAGCCATCGTTCAGTCGATTTTTTGCTTTGAGTTGTGAGCCAAAATCTGAGTTACGAGTGAGCTTCAGGTACGCAGCCACTAGTTGGCGCAGCGAATGCCACAACATCCACCCAGCATCCTGCATCACTCATTCAGTGCACGTGGTTACCTTGCCATGGAAGCATCTCTCTTGTGTTGTGCTTTGCATTTTGTGCTTTTTGTTCTGTTATTTTGCCAGATTTCTTCTAACCATGGTCCTAAGAAAGTAAGGGCAAAGGACAGTGCTGACAAGAGGAGGAGGAGGATGTCCATTGAATTAAAGCATGAAATCATAGAAAAACATGAGCGAGGTGTGGTGTAGCCAACTTGGCAAGGCAGTACGAGCGTAGTACTTCTACAATATATACCATACTTAAGCAGAAGTCGATAGAGCTTATAATGCCAGCCAAGGGCATTAAAATAATTTCTAAGCTACTGTAGTAGTGGTGGTAGTGGTAGTGGTGGTAGTAAAGGTGGTGGTCATGTTAGTGGTGGTAGAGGTGGTGGTGGTAGTGGTAGAGATGGTAGTGGTGGTGGTAGAGGTGGTGGTGGTAGTGGAGGTGGTGGTAGAGGTGGTGGTGGTAATGGTGGTACCGGTAGAGGTGGTAGTGGTGTAGCAATTAAGTTAAGTGATAGAGCTTATGACAAACGAAATCGACCATCCTCCACCTTCGCCAGCATCTTCCGTTAGCCCAAGTCGTCTGATCTCCAAGGTAAATGCACTTTATAAAACCAGTTTATTTCTTTACATTCTCATTTATTATATTTTATACAATATTTCTTATATATAAATATGTTTTTTCATATAGTCGAACTTGAGTCCTGGAAATGGGAAGTACAATGCCTGCACTTTAAAGGAGGGGTTTGGGATATTGGCAGTTTGGAGGGATATGTTGTGTATCTTTATACGTATATGCTTCTAAACTGTTGTATTCTGAGCACCTCTGCAAAAGCAGTGATAATGTGTGAGTGTGGTGAAAGTGTTGAATGATGATGAAAGTATTTTTTTGGGGGGATTTTCTTTCTTTTTTGGGTCACCCTGCCTCGGTGGGAGACGGCCGACTTGTTGAAAAAAAAAAAGAATGTTTTCTTATTTAAATACCCATGACAAAAAAAAAATTGGGGTGGTTTTTTGGGGGCTGGAACAGATTAATGGCATTTCAATTAATTTTAGTGAGGAAAATTGATTTGACATACGAGCAAATTGAGTTACGAGCTAGGTCACGGAACAAATTAAACTCGTAATTCAAGGTACCATTGTATTTACTTTTGTTTATTCATTTTTGGCTTGTTTCACTCTCATTCTATGCCATATTGCTCTTGGATATAATATTCTTTCACCTGAGTGTGAAACCATCTTCATTTTAAAATAACTTTTTTTTATCACTTTATTTATTTCTGTGACTAGTTTTTAATATAATTTTAGGGTCTATGGCCAGAAGGTGAAGCAGACATGAACATGGGCGAGGATAAGGATTCTTTGGCAGCTCGAGTTTTCTTCCCTCCACTAGAGTGGATGATGCAGTGTTTGGCTAGCTGTGCCCCCCACCATATCTTACAGGTGAGAAATAATTTAAATTAATTGAATTGCCAAATGACAGACTGGACTGCCTGTCACTCTGTATACACTGCTGCAGTTATAATTTGTAAAACTGTATCTGAATTCATGTACACACATTATTAAATTCTTTTACATGTAACATTATTTTTTAATTTTTGAAGATTGTCGAATATACATTGTGCAGGTGGTATGTTAAAACTTTATTAGTTGTAAAATCACGAAATTAGTGCATTTGTTTACAGAGTATCCTACGCCAATGTGAGGAAGGAGAGGGATTGGGGCAGAACCTCCTTGTTTCTTCCCTCCTTGCCACATTTCCTCACCACTTCATAGCCCTGCAGGCACTTCCTCTCACTCACCTCATAGCTGGTTGTTCTTATCCAGGTCAGTGGTGTTCTGTAATCATCTTTCACCACCAATCAGTTATCTACAGAATTACTATCCATAATTACTCCATGAGCTGCTTTTTTTCCTCAAGGAAATAGAGGGCTCCTTATACTGTATAGCAGTTCTCCATTATATAGTATAGTCCAAATACTAATCTACATCTATCCTGTAAACTGGAAATGAATTAGAGTATAATTAGACATTGTTTGTGTGAAGCAGCGAACCTGCATGGGTTATTATGCATAAGAAATGGTGGAGGCTTGATTCTCTATCCAATAGTCATAAAACACACGCACTACTCTCGATGTTTCAGTACATCCTAGTCCATTGTCAGCCTCTCAATTATCAATTATTAGTCATAAACAATCAGATGTTAAAGATGTTTTTAATGACTGTTTCAGGCATTTCTTAAAAAACTTCTCATTCATTTTAAGAGCTGTAAAAGTGAAGCACTCGTCACATCAGTGGCATCATAAGAAGGGGGTGGACGCCCCAGGTGATTACAGAGTACAAATAGGCCTGTATAGGGAAAATCATTGATTTTGATGATGTGTTAGATGACTTTGCAGGATTGAAGGCAAGGAAATGTAAGATCAGATTCATTGAGATGTTACCTGTACTCAAGGTCAAATCGGAACTAGCATTTCTCTGATATTGCAATGTTTTTCTTTATTTTTCAAGTTTTTTTTTTTTTTTTGCATTGTTGAAGATGAATAAATGTAGGATCTGTTGCCTGCACTCAAAGTGGTAATTGAGTTTGTTTCCTCAATATTACTACGATCATTTGGTCATTGGTCATGCAGTAGTGACATAGCTGGTGTTGACTTCCCCCATCCCCCTACCCTTGGATTTCATGGGGGTGACACTTAAGATGCCGCCCTGGGTGACACCAACCCCAGCAATGCTATTGCGTCACATAATTGATTTCAGAAATACATATGCTTAGAAATATTGAGTAAGAATGTGAAAGTGGTAAAGAGAAGGAAAGGTGCATTAAAGATAGCATTATTCTTCTTATTATTATTTTTCTTTGCCTCAACAGCCATTTCTCACCAAGCCAGGTGACCCCAAAAAAGAAAGCACATTCACCATCATTCATTCAGTCACTATCTTTCCAGAAGTGTGCTAACACCACAAGTCAGATTACCCTCCAACTGACTGCCCTTCCCACATCCAGGAATCAAAGTCCAACTCACCAGTTTCCCTTGAATCCCTTCATAAAAGTTACCTTTCTCACACTCCAACAGCTTGTCCATTAAAACCCACTTGTCTTCATTCACTCCTGATTGACACACTCAAACAAGCCTGCTGGATGCTCAGCCCTCTAACACTTGAAGCCTCTTACACCCTTTACTCTAACCATTCCTGGAATATCTCCTACCTCCTCCCTCCACCCCAGATTTATACACCCTCCTTGTCATGCTATCTCTCTCCCGTTCTACTTACCCAAACCACCTCAACAACCCCTCCTCAGTTATCTGAATTACTCCCTTTTTGACCTTACTTTGCCTTTATTATTATTATTATTCTTTTAACAAACCAGCCGTATGCCACTGAGGCAGGGTGACCTGATAAAGAAGAAAACTATAAAAATTTTCAATTCAGACATTAACTCAGAGCATACAGTCTGTCTGCAGAGCTGCAACAGAACACATGGACATGATACAAGGAACAAGTATCTTTGACATTCCATGTGTACTACTTGGCCTATTCAAAAACTCCATGCAGATATAAGGCCCCAGAATTTGGAAGTCACAGCCTGAAAATGCCAAAAGTTACCTGTCTGCCAACATGTTACTAATATTGTTAAAATCCACCTATTAAATCTCACATAAAATTAATATCTCTAAAAAAATTTACATTTTGATTTCACAATCTCAGTTCAACCACTCAACAAAATGCAGGTCATTAAACTAATATAATTTATTTGTAATTAACCAACTCATCATTTGCAAGGTATCTACTGATACTAAGTAACATTAATTACGTACATATATATTAGGTCTAGAGTTAAGTAGTATGTAAGCCTTATGATTAGTTTGCCTAAAATGCACTGCCTAATTGTAATGGCATTCTTCTGAGCCTACAATTGTATCAAATTATATTTGTATTATAATAAGAACAATATCTAAAACATAGTTAACTGGAATGTATAACTGTTGCAACTTTGATCATCTCCCACTGGTAACCTGAAAAAAAAAGAAATGCTTTTCTTCTTTTTTACAATTAGTAATTTACACAGAAGAAGGGGTTACTAGTCCCTTGCTCCCAGCATTTTATTTATTTATTTATTTGCATTGTAGGTAAACTTCAGCATGAACTGTTGTCATCCCTCGGTGTGTGTGTCAACCAAGCAGCTCCACCCCAGCAGCAGCAGCTGCCCCTTCTTAACGCCGTGTGGAAGCTCATTGCTCGTGTACCCAACACCAAAGATTACCTCTCTACTGCTGGCATATGGCTGGAGTTTACTGCTAAACATTTTACAGTAAAGATTTCCTTAGTTTGAGTTTTACATTCAAGATTATTGGAATCTGACTGATTTTATAAAAAAAAAAAAATTATGTAAAATTTACACTGTGATTGAGCCTGCTAAGTCATCATGCAATAGTGCAATACTGTATGTTCTGATACTTAAGGGGTTAGCTTGACTAATTGTAAATCATTGTTGCAACAATAATTATAACAACTGAAGTAAATACTGCCTGTGGTTAGAAATGATGCTGAGTAGAACTAGATTTAATCTCTTAGCAATATGAATACATCATTCCCCCATTTCCCATTTTCAGAAAAGTGTTCTGATGTTGATAAAGGTGGAAAGCACAGTGCTTGGATTCTGAAGGAGTGTGGATGTTGCAATTTAGAGGGTCATTTGAACTGTGATAACTGCACTTTTCTAGCAAGACAGCTATTGAATGAATGAGAGTGAATGTTTCCTTTTTTTGGATCACCCAACCTTGATGGGAGATGGCCAGTGGTTAAAAACATTACAAAATATTTTTTCTTTATCTTTCAACAAACCAGTCATATCTCACTAGGGCAAGGTGAGCCAAAAAGAAAAACAAAAGTTTCTTCTTTTAAATTTAGTAATATAGTATACAGAAAGAGTTACTAGCCCCTTGCTCCCAGCATTTTAGTCGCCTCTTACTACACACATGGCTTATGGAGGAAGCATTCTGTTCCACTTTCCCATGGAGATAAGAGGGAACAAACAAAAACAAGAACTAGAAAGATAATAGAAGAAAACCCAGAGGGGTGTGTATATATATGCTTGTACCTGAATATGTTATAGGTAGTAGGTTGGTAGACAGCAACCGCCCAGGGAGGTACTACCGTCCTGCCAAGTGAGTGTAAAACGAAAGCCTGTAATTGTTTTACATGATGGTAGGATTGCTGGTGTCCTTTTTTCTGTCTCATGAACATGCAAGATTTCAGGTACGTCTTGCTACTTCTACTTACACTTAGGTCACACTACACATACATGTACAAGCACATATATACACACCCCTCTGGGTTTTCTTCTATTTTCTTTCTAGTTCTTATTCTTGTTTATTTCCTCTTATCTCCATGGGGAAGTGGAACAGAATTCTTCCTCCGTAAGCCATGCGTGTTGTAAGAGGCGACTAAAATGCCGGGAGCAAGGGGCTAGTAACCTCTTCTCCTGTATATATTACTAAATGTAAAAGGAGAAACTTTCGTTTTTCCTTTTGGGCCACCCCGCCTCAGTGGGATACGGCCGGTGTGTTGAAAGAAAGAAAGACCTGAATATGTAGTGTGACCTAAGTGTAAGTAGAAATAACAAGACATACCTGAAATCTTGCATATTTATGAGACAGAAAAATGACACCAGCAATTCTTTTTTTTTTTTTTTCCCAACAAGTCGGCCGTCTCCCACCGAGGCAGGGTGACCCAAAAAGAAAGAAAATCCCCAAAAAGAAAATACTTTCATCATCATTCAACACTTTCACCTCACTCACACATAATCACTGTTTTTGCAGAGGTGCTCAGAGCACAACAGTTTAGAAGCATATACGTATAAAGATACACAACATATCCCTCCAAACCACTAATATCCCGAAGCCCCTCCTTTAGAGTGCAGGCATTGTACTTCCCATTTCCAGGACTCAAGTCCGGCTATATAAAAATAACCGGTTTCCCTGAATCCCTTCGCTAAATATTACCCTGGGAAACCGGTTATTTTTATATATCCGGACTTGAGTCCTGGAAATGGGAAGTACAATGCAATTCTGCCATCATATAAAACAATTACAAGTTTCAATTTTACACTCATTTGGCAGAACGGTAGTACCTTCCTGGGCAGTTGCTGTTTACCACCCTACTACCTAGTACTAAACATTTTGTGATGTCAAAATGAAACTAGATAAACATTTAACATAATGTATATATGCATACATTATATAAATTTTAATAACAACGTACATAATTACATTGTAGCATAACTATGAAACAAATATTTATAAATATATATTTTTTACCATCATTTAGACACTAAAGGAGGGGTGGGAATGTTGCAGTTGGAGGGTTATCTGTTTATGATGTAGCAGTCTTTTGGAAAAATGACTGTTGAGTGAATGATGTTGAATGTGTTCTCTTCTCTGGGTCAATTTGTCTTAGTGGGAGATGGCTATTGAGTTGAAAAAAAAAAATAGACACATATGAACAAGACAGTAATTGAAAAAAAATTCAGCACTTTTAAATTTCTGTGCAGTGGCTAACGCAACAGTCTGGAGTTTTATTGGTAGTAGGTTGGTAGACAGCAACCACCCATGGAGGTACTGCCATCCTGCCAAGTGAATGTAAAACAAAAGCCTGTAATTGTTTTACACGATGGTAGGATTGCTGGTGTTTTTTGTCTGTCTCATAAATATGCAAGATTACAGGTATGTCTTGCTACTTCTACTTACACTTAGGTCACACTACACATACATGTACACATTTATTTATACACACTCATCTGAGTTTTCTTTGATTTTATCTTAATAGTTCTTGGTCTTATTACTTTTCCTTTTATATCCATGGGGAAGTGGAATAAGAATCTTTCCTCCATAAGCCATGCGTGTTGTAAAAGTCAACTAAAATGCCGGGAACAATGGGCTAGTAACCCCTTTTCCTGTAAAGATTACTAAAAAGAATAAGAAGAAGAAAATTGTCAAAGTGGGAAGTCTGAATGTGCGTGGATGTTGTGCAAATGATAAGAAAGAGATGATTGTGGATGTTATGAATGAGAAGAAGCTGGATGTCCTGGCTTTAAGTGAAACAAAGCTAAAGGGGGTGGGAGAGTTTCAATGGAGAGGAATAAATGGGATTAGGTCAGGGGTTTCAAATAGAGTTAGAGCTAAAGAAGGAGTAGAAATAATGTTGAAGGATAAGCTATGGCAGGAAAAGAGGGACTATAAATGTATTAATTCAAGGATTATGTAGAGTAAAATAAAGGTTGGATGTGAAAAGTGGGTTATAGTAAGTGTATATGCTCCTGGAGAAGAGAGAAGTGTAGAGGAGAGAGAGAGATTTTGGGAAATGTTGAGTGAATGCATGGGGAGTTTTGAACCAAGTGTGAGAGTACTTGTGGTTGGGGATTTCAATGCTAAAGTGGGTAAAAATGTTGTGGAGGGAGTAGTAGGTAAATTTGGGGTGCCAGGGGTAAAAGTAAATGGGGAGCCTTTAATGGAACTATGTGTAGAAAGAGATTTGGTAATAAGTAATACATATTTTATGAAAAAGAGGATAAATAAATATACAAGGTATGATGTAGCACGTAATGAAAGTAGTTTGTTAGATTATGTATTGGTGGATAAAAGGTTAATGGGTAGGCTCCAGGAGGTACATGTTTATAGAGGGGCAACTGATATATCGGATCATTATTTAGTTGTAGCTACAGTTAGAGTAAGAGGTAGATGGGAAAAGAGGAAGGTGGCAATAAGAAGTAGGAGGGAAGTGAAAGTGTATAAACTAAGGGAGGAGGAAGTTCGGGTGAGATATAAGCGACTATTGGCAGAAAGGTGGGCTAGTGCAAAAAATGAGTAGTGGGGGGTTGAAGAGGGTTGGAATAGTTTTAAAAATGCAGTATTAGAATGTGGGGCAGAGGTTTGTAGTTATAGGAGGGTGGGGGCAGGAGGAAAGAGGAGTGATTGGTGGAATGATGAAGTAAAGGGTGTGATAAAAGAGAAAAAGGTAGCTTATGAGAGGTTTTTTACAAACCAGAAGTGTTATAAGAAGAGTAGAGTATATGGAGAGTAAAAGAGAGTGGTGAGAGAGTGCAAAAGGAGAGCAGATGATAAAGTGGGATAGGCACTGTCAAGAAATTTTAACCCTTTCAGGGTCCGTCCCGTAGATCTACGGCTGGTCGGTGAGTGTCCAAACCGTAGATCTACGCCAAAATTCTAGCGCCGTCAAATTTAGCGCGAAAGCGCTCATAGGCCTACATATGAGAGAATGGGTCTGCGCGGTGGGTGTGTGCCGTAAACAAAAAATCTAGGCGCCTGCATAGCATTGTGGGAACACCGGCTCAGTCACCCTTGTTCACCATGTCTCGTCGCAAGTCAGCTCTCACTCCCCGGAAAATTGGGACTCTCCTCTTCCTGTCTGATAGTTCTGACACTGATGGAAGTGGAAATGAAGACGAATTCTACGGCTTTGATGAGTTAGTGACCGAAAATAATGACCAGGATATCGATAATAGTGCAGAAAACCCCGACGATCCTCGACCTTCTACCTCTGGGTTGTGGGGCACTTGTCTCGTGACGCACGGTTCGTTTGTTCCTAAACTAAGAAAACTAATATTTTCCCCGTGACTGGCCTCTGACTTCAGTAATGAACGATGATTCTGACGTGGATTGTGATTTTATTGCTCTCGACGATCAACCAGTAGTATAGTGAGTAACAATTCACCAGTTGAAGCTCGGTATGTTGCGCGCGCAATGCGCTCGGTAGTGAACCCAATGCTATGCCCAGGGGACGGAGTAAATCCCCGTAGACATCCCGGAGTTATAATCCCGTGCCCTACACCCGATTTAGGTAGTGATAGTGAGGATGATTGCCTACACTTGGCATGGATGGGCCCACAGACATCATGATGGTGTTAGTGGGCTGGTGTGTGGTAGTGGCAAAACCGCCATGCGTGACTCGCTGTGGCCACGCGCGGGAACCCACGCTGCAGACATCGTCAGTTCAAGGACAAAGCGGAGCGTCACCCACCGAGCCCGCACATAACCACCTGTACACCCTGCCTATGATGTCCAGTCCACCAGCAAACCGTATCTGGGATTGGCAGCAAAATCCCCAATTTTGTATCCCAAGCCCTCACCACTTTGATTACATCGCAAAGTGGAATTCTACCTACCTGTCCCCTTGGAACCACGGCCAATAACTGGAATTCTTTGAATTATTCTTTGACCAGCCAATTGATGGAAACTATTGTCCTAGGAAAGTAATAAGTATTTTCAGTACACCATGCAAATACGATCTTATCACCACAGTCAAGACTACACAGTGGGAAAGAGACGACGTTGGCAGAAATTGTATTTGCTTTTTTGCAACAATAATGCTTATCCTCACGTCCTAAAGCATAATATAAAAGCATACTGGTCCACAGATCGGCTAATTTGTACACCATCCTTCAGTGGAAATAAAATACCAGTGAACAGGTTTACTACTCTTACTCAGTTGCACCTTCTCTGACAAAACCAGGCCTGACAGAAGTGACAGGTTATACAAAATTATAAATGTTTTCATGTATCTCAAACCAAAGTTCAGGATATACTTTTTATCCATTCAAGAATCTTGTAATTGACGAGTCTTTGATTTTGTTCAAATGTAGAACTGTGTCCATTCAAGCATATATACCGAGCAAGAGGAACCGCTTTGGTAATAAAATTGTTGTACTCTGTGAATTGTGACAGGGCCTGGTGTTTGATATTGTTGTATACAACGGGTATAAAACATTGAAAGAATACCAAGAGTATTGGGTATATCAGGTGACGTAGTGAGAACATGATGGCAACTTATCTTGGTAAGGGCCATACATTATAATACCGATAACTGGTACACCAAAGCCCATTACTCAGTGATTTTCATGCGAGTGAACCAGACAGATGTGTGTGGCACAGTGCTTCTAATCGTAAAAGCATATGCCCAGGCTCAACCAGGTGTTCGTGGTGGATGACGTGCAAGGTGTTTACTTCCAATGGACTCATGGCATTACGGTGGCATGACAAACGAATGTCACATTGTTGACAACCATTCACCGAAATGAAATGCAAGACAGTGGCAAAGTTGATCGAGTGACTAAATGAACGTAATTTTCGAAAACCAGTGACAGTGGATTGATTTATATAGTACACAAAACATGGCGCTTGTGACAAGTGTGACATGCAGATTGGTTTTGTTGACTGTGTTCAATAGTACAAGTGGTACAATGAAACTTTCCTTCCATCTCATGGACTTTTCAATGCTGAATGCAATAATATGTACAAATAAAGACTGGTACACAGACCACCGTATGGTGAATTTTGTTTGTCTGTTGTAGACAACTCATAATGAGAGTACCAGGTCAACATCCTGCAATACAACATGTTCCTCGAATTCATCCAATATACCCAAGCGTTTGCGAAGAGAAGGTTGATCATTTCATAATACAGCTTCCTTCAACTCAAAAGAAATTTGCTCAGAAGAGTGCCATTGTCTGTGCACAAACAAAACGACGGCAACAAAGACGCAAAGACACTCGTTATGGTTGAGAATGTAAGGTGCCTCTGTGCATGGTGCCGTTGTTTCAAAGAGTTTCCACTACTCCAGCAGTTTCTAAACCATGTCCAGTGATTGTAAAAATGTTAATATATGATAGAACATTAGTATTATACAATATTTTGCATGTTTATTTGTAATAAACAACAGTGGTAAAACAATAATATGATAATAACTTTAGTGCGGTTATTGTGTCAATACAGTGAGTTTATATATATAAATTTATATACAGTATTGGTCTCTCAGGCCCCAAATGTTTAGTAGGAATAAAAAAAATTGGAAAAGAAAAGAAAAAACAACCTAAAACAACAAAATAATATAAAACGCTATGTGGGAATCGTCGATGTTGAGGCCGCCACCTCATCATTTCCTACAAACTTCTTGGCACTGTATCTCGGTAAAGGTACTTATTCAATTCTAATTTTTTTTTGTTTTATTACCTTCACAAAAATATGCTCTTTAATTCTGTAAGAAAAAATAATTTTTTTTTTTTTTTCAAAATTTTCATTTGAACCCTGGTGGCGTGACTTCAAGATTTTGCCTTGGACCACTAAAGGGTTAAAGAAAATAAGAAAAAATTTTGGAGTGAGTTAAACATGTTTAAGAACGCCTAGACAATGTATGGATTTGTCAGTTAAAACAGAGTAGGGGAGTTAGTAGATGGAGAGGGAGTAATTAGGTAGATGGCGAGAATAATTTGAGGGAACTTTTAAATGTTGAGGAAGAAAGGGGGCGGTAATTTCATGCACTGGCAAGGGAGGTAACCATCTTTTAGGGAGAAGAATAGCCAGAATTAAGTGTGGGGGAGGTACGTGAGGGCATTACGTAGAATTAAAGGGGGTAAAGCAGCTGGAACTGATGGGATCATGACATAAATGTTAAAACAGGGGGGGGATGATAGTGTTGGAGTGGTTGGTACTTTTTGTTTAATAAATGTATGAAAGGGGGAAGGTACCTAGGATTGGGAGAGAGCATTGTATAAGGCCCTTTATATAAAGGAATGGGGACAAAAGGATTGTAAAAATTATAGAGGAATAAGTTTATGAGTATACCAGGAAAAGGTGTACATACGTTATATTGAAAGAAAATAGAGGTAAGACAGAATGTAGGATTGCGATGAGCAAGGAGGTTTCAGAGTGGTAGGGGATGTGTAAATCAAGTGTTTTACTATTGAAGCATATAATGAACATATTTAGATAAAGGTAGGGAAGTTTTTATTGCATTTTGGATTTATAGAAAAGGCCATAAAATAGAGTGGAATTGAGGAAAGCAATTTTGCAGATGTTGCAATACAGTGGACCCCCGCTTAACGATCACCTCCAAATGCGACCAATTGTAAAAGTGTATTTATGTAAGTGCGTTTTGGTACGTGTATGTTTGGGGCTGAATGGACTTAATCTACTTCACAATATTCCTTATGGGAAAAATTTCAGTCAGTACTGGCACCTGACATACTACCTGGAATGAAAAAAAGTTAGTTAAACCGGGGTCCACTGTAATATGGAATATGTGGTAAGTTACTAAATGCTGTAAGATTTTTTAATGAGGATAGTGAGGCTCAGGTAGGGTGTGTAGAAGAGAGGGAGACTACTTCCCGGTAAAAGTAGGTCTTAACAGGGAGTTAATGTCACCATGTTGTTTAAATATATTTATACATGGGTTGTAAAAGAATAAATGCTAGGGTGTTCGGAGAGGGGTTGGATTAAATTATGGGGAAACAAATACAAAATAGGGATTTGACACAGTTACTTTTTGCCTGATGATACATGTGCTTAATGGGAAGATTCTAAGAAAAATTGTGCAAAGGGTAGTGAATGAGTTTGGGAGTGTGGTGTAAAGGTAGAATAGTATGAAAGTGAACATAGAAAAGAGTAAGATGATGAGGGTATTCAATGATTAGATAAAGAAAAAATTAGATATCAAATTGGGGGACGAGGATAATGAAAGAAGTGAATGTTTTCCAGATACTTGGGAGTTGACGTGTCGGCGGATGGATTTATGAAGGATGAGGTTAATCATAGAATTGATGAAGGAAAAAAGTGAGTGTGCATTGAGGTATATGTGGAGTCAAAAAACGTTTATCTGTGGGAGGCAAAGAAGGGAATGTATGAAAGTATAGTAGTACCAACCACTAATATTGGGTGAGAAGTCTGGTGTGAATGCAGCAGCGAGGAGGCGGTTAGGAGGCCAGTGGAGATGTCCTGATGTGGAGTCAATATTATGCAGAAAATTCGGAGTGTGGATATTGGAGAAGGTGTGGAGTAATAAAAGTAATATCAGAGGGCTGAGTAGGGGTTTGTTTGATTGGTTTGGTCATTTAGAGAGAATGGATTAAAGTAGAATCATGGAGAGCATTTAAATCTGTAGATAGAAGGAAGGCGGGTAGGGGTTCGTCCTCGAAAAGGTTGGAAGGAAGGGGTAAAGGGAGGTTTTGTGGGCGAGGGGCTTGGACTTCCAGCAAGCGTCGTTTGAAGGAGTGAATGGAGACAATGGTATTTTGGACCTGACATCTGTTGAGTGTGAGCAGGTAATATTTAGTGAAGGGATTCAGGGAAACATTATTTTTATATAGCCAGACTTGAGTCCTGGAAATGGGAAGTACAATGCCTGCACTCTAAAGGAGGGGTTTTGGGATATTAGCAGTTTGGAGGGATATGTTGTGTATCTTTATACATATATGCTTCTAAACTGTTGTGTTCTGAGCACCTCTGCAAAAACAGTGATTATGTGTGAGTGAGGTGAAAATGTTGAATGATGATGAAAGCATTTTCTTTTTGGGGATTTTCTTTCTTTTTGGGTCACCCTGCCTCGGTGGGAGACGGCGAACTTGTTGAAAAAAAAAAATTATGCATCTATTTATCTGTAGTATTTTTTTGCAGTCAGTTGAGGTTAACACCCTCCTCGGAGATGTTCTGAAGCATGTTGGAACAGATCGCAGCCATGACCAGACTCATTATCCTGCGATGCTCGCCCTGGTCTCCACAGCCCTCACTAATTCTACAGATCCTCACTCACTTTTCTCTATGGTGTGTGTCTTGTTATCACAACTTGTTCTTAAATGTAACTTTATTAACAAAGAGAAAATCATATTTTTGTCTCAAAGTTTTGAAGAAGCTCTAATCTCTAAAAAAAGAAAAGCTAAAACCAATGCAGGATGTACAAAATTAGAAATAGTGAATGATAATAATAATGGTGTAGGCAAAACTTTTGGAGAAAGAAGTGTTTCACATGTGTCTTAGTCATCAGAAATAGTCAAGTTGATGAGGGGTTTTGTTACCAAGAGAATCTCTTATATGTTTGATATTTTCTATTTTATTTTTTATATATAGTGACTACATACTAGACCTACATGTTGCATGTTTTATATGATTAAGTTTTGTTTCATTAAGGTTCATGTGAGTAGCTTCATTCCTATCACCCAAATACTTTAAACATTGTATAATCTAAGTATTCCTATTCTAATGTATCTTGCTAGGTTTAAGCTTGCCTGAAATGCTCTGTATTACTAAAGGACTTTCCATGTGAGAAATGTCATATCATCCAATTTTTTACAAATTATGTAACATGTGAAAATAGATTGATTAATTGATATTTTGAGACATCACCCATCCAGGGAGTCAATGGAGCTACCCTCCCCTTCGAATAAACCAAATTATGTACTCCCACTTCTACCATTTCCTAGGTGCTGTGTAACCCTTATGATTTTAGCACTTCTTCATGAATACTGTATAGTAATAATAATCTTCAAACATCAAGAGAGAGCTCCAATTGGCTTAATAGATGCAGGTACAGTGGACTCTCGAGTTTCGGCGGCATCGACTTTCGTGAAATCCGACTTTCGGCAAGTTATTTCAGCAAAATTTGGCCTCGCGGTTCATGATTAGACTTGTGATTTGGCGACCGTCTGGTACCCGTCTGCCCGTCACTGCGCACACAAAGCCAGTCTCCCACGCCATTCACCCTCAGTGTGCCATTGTTTACCAACACGTGACCATCACCTCCACACCCCCACCGCCGCGGGTTTCATTGAACGTAATAATCTATTGTTTTTTGTAATTGCAACTGCTAAATAAGTCACCATGGGCCCAAGGAAAGCTAGTGCAAGCCCTTTGGTAAAGAAAGTGAGGAACACGATCGAATTCAAGAAGGAGATCATTGAAAAATATGAGATTGGAGTGCGTGTTACCAGGGGGAGAGCTTGCCGGAATGTATGGCAACCCCATTCAACCCAGTCACTTGGATCATGGCAAAAGGAAAGGAAATAAAGTGTGCTGTTGTTGCAAAAGGGGTAGATATGCTGACAAAAAGGAGATCACAAATCTTTGAAGACGTGGAGAGGTTATTGTTGGTGTGGATTACCGAAAAACAGATTAAGGGCATTTGTGCAAAGTGGACTGAAGTGCAAACATTTATGGATGAACTTCACCCTAACAGAGCCATATTGGCAACATGTACAATGACATTGTTGTGTCCCACTTCAGACAAATCATAAAGAAACGCCAGAAACAGAGCTCTCTGGATAGATATTTTGTGCGACAGGTTCCAGTGACTCTCAAGTTGTTCCAGTGCCAGTGTCCTTTTAAAAAAAACAAAAAGGGAAGTTAACCCCAGATAAGGATCCTTCATACCTGAGTCCTAATAGAAGGAATTCCCTGCCAAACAACATGTACAACCTTCCTTCCTATCCCCTCCTCCCGTCTTCCATCCACCCAGAAGTCTTCAGTAAAGGTAAGTGTAATGTATTATTATTTTTTATATGCTTGTACTTGATTTCTCATTTTTTTCAGTATGTAAATCTTTATTTAATTTGAAAAAAAATATTTTATTTTAATATTTTTGGATGTATGGAACGGATTAATTTTATTTCCATTATTTCTTATGGGGAAAATGGTTTTGCCATTCAGCAATTTCGACTTTCGGCAGGCTCTCTGGAACGGATTAATCACGAAACTCGGGGGTCCACTGTATATACTTTATTGATCTTTCATCTATAGCAAAAAAGTTGTAAATCTTAATAAAATGACTGATACACCTTACATCCTTGCCCTTTTTAATATTAAAATTAAAAGAGCATTTACTATCAAATTAATAATGAAGTTTGCACAATTTGTCAGAAATGCTGTGTATCCATAGGTTTTACATCAATGATTTGAAAAATCATGCTCAAATTGTCCCAGTAAGAGAGCTGGAAAATGTGATATGGTGAATTTGATTTTCATTTGTTGGTCATCCTTCCTTGGAAGGAAATGGCCAGTGTTAAAAAATACAGTGGAACTCTGGTTTTTGCACACTCCAGTTATTGGATGTTTCAGTTTTAGGATCATTTTTTGTGTGAAATTTTGTTCCGGATATCACACCTTGATCTAGTAATCGGACGTCCATCCACCCAGGGACATTGCCACTACGCGTCTCAGTCTGCCTCTGTCACTGGTCGAGTGAGCATTATTTCGTGCGTTCCAAAACATATCGTAATAATCCCTTGTTTTTGGTGCTTGTTTATTAATTGTGACTGCAAAATAAGCCACCATGGGCCCAAAGAAAGTTCCTAGTGCAAGCCAGCCCTTTGGTAAAGGGCTGAGAGAGAGAGGAGACTGTGCCTTCTTCAGTGATTCTGTGATATGTACAATACTAAAGCAGCAGGAGTCGATAAAGGTTATAGCGCCAGCCAGCGATAAAGTGTAGCATTAACAGTGTAGCAAGTAAGTTAAGCGATTAAACGATAGAAAAATGACGACATGAGACTGACTCCTCCATTGTTGTTTGAGGTATATAGAGCCACTGACAACATATGCCACCACCACCAACACTATATGTACGGCTTATGCTGTCAGTCGCCCTTTAAACCCAACAACAACAATCACCACCACACCACCACCACCGACCACCACCAACCACCACTCCACATACGAAATCCCTATTTTATTCATTCTAGAGTTATATATCATGTTTCTATGTTAATAATATTGTTTATTTTGTCATGTCATGTTAGATCAATTGTGATAGATAAATAAGCTGTACCTAGGTAGTAGGGTGGAACAGCAACCGACCAGGGAGGTACTACCGTCCTGCCAAGTGAGTGTAAAACAAAAGCCTGTAATTGTTTTACCAAGATGGTAGGATTGCTGGTGTCCTTTTTCTGTTCATAATAATGCAAGGTTTTCAGGTACGTCTTGCTACTTCTACTTACACATTAGGTCACACTAACAGACAGTACAAGCATATAATACACACCCCTCTGGGGTTTTCTTACTATTTTCTTTTCTAGTTCTTTTCTTTGTTTATTTCCTCTTATCTCCATGGGGAAGGGACATAATCTTCCTCCATTAGGCCATGCATGTTTGAAGAGGAGCTTAAAATGCTGGAGCAGGGCTAGTAACCTCTTCTCCTTATATATTACTAAAATGTAAAAGGAGAAACCTTTTCGTTTTCCTATTAGGGCCACCCCCGCCTCGGTGGAATACGGCTGGTGTGTTGAAAGAAGAAGAAATAAGCTGTAGAAGCTGATATTATGTCATATGGAAGGAGTATTTTGTCCTGCCTCCAAACAAAACTCTCTGCCCTGCCACCACTAGCATATTTTATTCATTCTAAGTGTAATTTTGGGTTTCTTTTTTCCTTCTTTCTTCCTTTCAACAAACCAGCCGTATCCACCAAGGCAGGGGGGCCCAAAAAAAGAAAAACAAAAGTTTCTCTTTTCAAATTTGTAATTTATAATATGAGAAGGGATTACTAGCCCCTTGCTCACCGCATTTTAAGTCACCTCTTACAAACACGCATGCTTACGGAGGAAGAATTCTGTTCCACTTCCCCATGGAGATAAGAGGAAATAAATAAGAACAAGAACTAGAAAGAAAATAGTAGAAAACCCAGAGGGGTGTGTATATATATGCTTGTACTACATGTAATGTGTATGTGATCCTAAGGATGGAAGTAGAAGCCGCAAGATGAACGCGCTGAAATCTTGCATGTTCATAGACAGAAAAACAAAGACACCAGCAATCTTACCATCATGTAAAACAATTACAGGGCTTTCATTTTACACACACTTGGCAGGACAGTAGTACCTCCCTGGGCGGTTGCTGTCTACCAACCTACTACCTAATATTTCGGGTTTCTATGTTATTGATATTGTTTATTATGTCATATTAGATCAATGAGGAAGATAAATGGCTATAGAGTTGATTAATAGTGTCATATTCTTTAAAAAATAAATTTTTGTGAATATTTTTTGTTGTCTGAACAGATTAATTCGTTGTTTTTATTTTTTTTTTTTTTCAATAAGTCGGGCGGCGGCCAACTCCCACCGAGGCAGGGATAGAACCCAAAAAAGAAAGAATATCCCCAAAAAAGAAATACTTTCAATCATTATTCCCACACTTCATTCACCACACTCACACATTATCACTGTTTTTGCAGAGGTGCTCAGAATACAACAGTTTAGAAGCATATACGTATAAAGATACACAACATATCCCTCCAAACTACCAATATCCCAAACCACTCCTTTAAAGTGCAGGCATTGTACTTCCCATTTCCAGGACTCAAGTATTTACATTATTTACATTATTTCTCCTGGGAAATATTTATTCAGTTTTCACACGTTTCAGTTTTAGAAGGACTTTGTGGAACAGATTAAGTTCAAAAACCAGGGTTCCACTGTATATTAATCTTTTAACTATGGCATACATATAAGTAAATATTCCTGTGTCTGTGGTAGATTCTGAAACATACAAAAATGATTTTTTCTTAATGATTAAAAGAGTGCATTTTTATGGATCAGATAAGACCAAATCTGATAATACCTTGGGATTTTATGGTGTGTTGAAGTTTGGTGAAAAAATGATCACTCATCAGCAACAACAGTGTAGATGCACCAGCATTATTTACATTTTACAATTTATTAACACCAAATTATTTTTTTTTTTTTAAGTTTTCAGGTTTTTGTTTTTGATATTTAACACTATGTACAATACTTCTTGTGATATTAGATATGTTTCAAGATGTTTTAGTACTTCAAGAATGCGGAAATGCATAGCTCGATATTGCTCATAGAATGAACGGTATAAATTTGAGCAAATAGTTGTTGTTTATTCTGTTTCACTGATTTTATTTGCTGCTGCTGTTTGTACTACTACTACTGCTGCTGCTGCTAATAATAATAATAATAATAATAATAATATTGGCAGTTTGGAGGGATATGTTGTGTATCTTTATACGTATATGCTTCTAAACTGTTGTATTCTGAGCACCCTCGCAAAAACAGTGATAATGTGTGAGTGTGGTGAAAGTGTTGAATGATGATGAAAGTATTTTCTTTTTGGGGATTTTCTTTCTTTTTTGGGTCACCCTGCCTCGGTGGGAAACGGCCGACTTGTTGAAAAAAAAAAAAATAACAAAATAATATTTTTCAATATGGCCATCTACCACCAGTGCAGGGCAACCTCTTTCTCCCCCAACAGAAGTGAAAACTCATTCAACATCATTCATACAGTTACTGTCATGCTGACATCAGAGCTAGGATGGCCTTCCAGTTGCAACATTCTCAACCATCTATATAAAAAAAAAAAAAAAAAAGAAAGGCTCTTAGTATGGACAGCATTTTTTCAGACTTCACTAGGACTAAAATCATTCCCCCCCTTACTTTTTTAGGGGTGAGGCCCCAAGTCAAACTGCAACACCCCCACCTATCATAGTGTATTTATTTTTTGTTTTTCAAAACACTTTCTTGCTTATTGAATGTCCTTCAACGTGACAGCGTGAGTGCAGGGTGATGGATTGACACGTGGAGTGGTTGAAGCACTGCTTACACATCACCCTGGAGACTTCACTGACCCAATCTTATGCAACACCTCCTCACTCGTTGTGGTGCACTTTCATGACCAATAAGTGAGCTTTTGATATTTGTGATTTTTTGTTCTCATGGCTTTGTGAATAATTTTCCATCTTCACATATGAACAAATAACTCACATTATAGAAGAAAGAAACTTACAACATTGTTATTGGTCCGACTTGGACCATTACCTAGTCGCACAAGTCGAATTGTAATGTTGTCGTAGGTTTTTTTTCTCATATGTGGCGGTCACTTGTGCATGTTCCAGTCATGGTATTTGCATTTTTTTTTTATTCGTTATCTATTCACACATGGATAGGTTGAGAATAGAGGGTTACAATGACTATGATTGAAAACCACAAATAGCTCACACTTTGGAAAGGAACCCCTTAAGTGCAGGTTATTTTGTGGAATGTAGATTGGTTCTAAAAATAATTTACAACTAAAAATTGGTAATATAGATAGAAGTGAATACAAGCACATTGTTTTAACATCATGTTTAATGATGCAAGTAACACTTTTCTTTCATCATACTTAATGAAGCTCTACCCCAGAGCAAAATATCTATGATAAAGATTTCTATAAATGTCACTCAGTCTTCCTTGTTGATTTCCAGAGTTGCCAAAGAAAACTGCATTGCAAAAACATGCAGTTTTATTTGCAAGGAGTCCTTCAATAAGTTTTTGCCACTTCACATTTAGGATTCCTTGAATGTGTTTTACGATCCCTGTTGTGTATTAGGATTTTTTGTAGTGTGCCTGTTTGGCAGCAGTTACAAAGAAGAGGGAGTAGCAAATACAACTTTATTGACAGGCAGTGAACCTTTCTCTTAATATTTGTACTCATATCAATACACACTCATGCACATTTGACACTTAATATTCTCAGTTACCTCGTATTTTACCTCCAGATTTATTGTACTGTATAATTTTTGTGAATACTTTCTCGATGCTTATATTTCTTCACATCTATACCATCTCATCTCTCAACTTAAATTTTTGATTTATCAGTTACTTCATTAGTACTTTAAAATATAATGCGAAACTCACTTTAGTGTGGTCATTGTACTTTCTGATGTTCTTATATTTTCTCCGTGAAGTACTTGGAAAATTATTATTGTTGCCCTATTACGCTAATAAACACTCCTGGCCTCTACTGTAGAGTTCACTGGCCGTGCCATAGTACTTTACTAACACGATGAGTTTCGCCCACTCAGATAAGCTGTGACGGTAAATTTGGGCCTAGATGTGAGAAGAATGGGTCGGTGAGGTAAGTGTGTACAATAAAAAACCTGCACATGCAAGTGCATAATGAGAAAAAACTGGAACCTAAGTTTTTCATTTTTAAAAGCAGCAACTTTGCAGTGCATTTTTCATATGGATTTTTATGGTTGCATCTCATTTCTTGATCTCATTTGATAGAGTGGAAGATATGTTTTACGGAAATAGAGATACTTTTTCATTGGTATAAATCCTGAAAATAGCTTAAAATTAAGCTTAAATAGACGGAAAACTTTGATTTTTTTTGGCCAGAGTGATGTTCAAGAGTAAACAAATCATGGTCACAGTTCCAATACACGGTCCACTGGTTGGTCTAATATGTGTTTCACGAATGTGCTGATAATATTTATACAATATTACAGTATTGCATAACAGTAAATCTTCAATTTTGTGGAATAAAAAATCATAATGGAATTCATGTGTAAAGCCTGAATAAGTTAATTTATGAACAGAGGAAATGTTATTTTTAGTGCCAGGACTGCTTGCATTGTTTATTCTAGACTCTATTTTGAAATTAGATATGTATTTTGGAAAAATTCCATTGTGAAATTGGCCAAAATTACCAATTTTTGATGACCTTTATTGGGTATTGAAATAGTTTTGATTGGCAATTTCTTGACCCAATCGATAAAATGTAAACATATTAGTGAAATAGCTTTAAAATTTGGTCGACTGAAACAATGTAATTGAATAGGAATTCAAGTGGGCAAAAATCCACCAGTGCAATAACATATCACTGATACATAAAATTCACAAAGCGTATGTCGTCATTATTTCCCATCAAATTTTGTTTTAATATTAACTCAGAAAAAGATTCTCTTACCCCTTTCATAAGAAAAAAAAAATTAAATTCTTGGGCATGTGGACAGGTTTCGATCAGGGGTCTGGACAGTGAAAGGTTAATCATAATTTTCCCATGTACTATATAGCTTATAAATAATGTCTCTCTTCTCCTTTCAGAGTTTACATTATAAATATTTTAAAGTCTTTCCAATTGTTTAAATGATTTTTCTGTGTAAGTAACCCATGCAAAAGAAGGAAACGATCTTTTGTACTCCTTCTGTCTCAGATATTTTCACCTGTCTTTAAAACCCTTTAGGGGGGGGGGGGGGGGGGGGGGGGGGGGGGGGGGGGGGGGGAGGGTCCAAGGCCAAAATCTTAAGTCATCCACCAGTGTCCCCAAAGAAATTTTTGAAAAAAAAAACAAATTATTTTTTCTTACAGAATTAAAAGACATATTTTAGTAAGGTAATAAAACAAAAAAATTTAGAATCTGATAGTACTTACCGAGATACAGTGCCAAAGAAGTTTGTAGAAAATTATGTGGTGGAGGCAACATCGACGAATTCCCACATACGCGTATATATTTATTTTGTTGTTTTAGTTGTTTTTTCTTCATTTTCCTATACAATTTTTTTTTCTTATTCCTACTAACATTTGGGGCCTGAGAGACCAATACTGTATATAAATTTGGTAATATAGAAACTCCACTGTATTGAACACAAAAACCGCACTAAAGTTTATTATATATTATGTTTTACCACTGTTGTTTATTACAATAAACATGCACAAATATTGTATAATATAATGTTCTATCATATATTTGTACATATTTACATCACTGGACATGGTTTTAGAACTGCTTGGAGTTGTGGAACTCCTTGAAACAAGGCACCATGACAGAGGCACCTTTACATTTCCTCACACATAAACCTATGTCCTTTGCGCTTTGTTGCCGTCGTTTGTTTGTGCACAGACAATTGCATCTCCTACTGAGCAAATTTCTTTTGAGTTGGAAGGAAGCTGTATTATGAAATGATCACCTTCTCTTCTCAAATCAAACGCTTGGGTATATTGTGATGATTCAGAGGACCATGTTGTATTGCTGGTGTTGTTACCTGGTACTTTTCTTATGAGTGTCCTGACAACAGACAAAACAAATTCACCATACGGTGGTCTGTTACCAGTTTCTTTATTTGGTACATATTATATGCATTCAGCATTGAAATGTCCATGATATGGAAGAAAAGTTTCATCAGTACCACTTGTAACTTCTTACGAACAACAGACAACAAAACCAATCTGCATGTCACACTTGTCCACCAGCGCATGTTTTTGTGTATAATCAATCACTGTCACTGTTTTCGAATACTTCATTAGTCACCTACGTCGATCAACTTTGCCACTGTCCTTGCATTATCATTACGGTGGAATGGTTGTCAACAATGTGACATCTCGTTTGTCATGCCACCGTAATGCCATGATGTCTATTGGCAGTAAACCACCTGGCACGTCATCACGCACGAAGCACCTGGTTGAGCCTGGCATATGTTTTTCGATTAGAACGCACTTGCCAACACACAATCTGTCTTGTTCACGGTCGTCATGAAATCACTGAGTAATGGGCTTGTGTACCAGTTATCGGATATAAATGTATGGCCCTTACTCAGATAAGGTTCCATCATGTTCTCACTACGCACCTGATATACCCCAATAACATCTTGGTATCTTTCAATGTTTTACTACCCGTGTATACAACGAATAACCAAACACCATCCACTGTCACATTCACAAGTACAAACAATTTTATACCAGAGCGGTTCCTCTTGCTCGGTATATACTGCTTGAAGCAGTCTACCTTGAACAAAATCAAAGACTCGTAATTAAAAGATTCTTGATGGATAAAAGTATAATCCTGAACTTTTGTTTAGATACATGAAAACATTTCAATCTGTATAACCAGTCACTTCTGTCAGCCTTGTTTTTGTCAGAGAAGTGCATCCTAACGTAACAGTAAAAATAAACCTGTTCACTGGTATTATCTTCACTGAAGGATGGGTACAAATTACCGATCTGTGGACCAGTATGCTTTTATATTATGCTTATAGACGTGAGGCATAAGTCATTATTGTTTTGCAAAAAAGCAAATACATTTCTGCAACAGTCGTCTCTTTCCACCTGTGTAGTCTTGACTGTGGTGATAAGATCGTATTTTTGCCATGGTGTACTGAAAATACTTATTACTTTCCAGACAATAATTTCCACAATGCTGGTCAAAGAATAATTCAAAGAATTCCAGTTCATTGGGGTCCGTGTCCTAGGGGACAGTGTAGGTAGAATCCACTTTGCGATTCATCAAAGTGGTGAGGGTCTGGAAAAAAATTTGGATTTAGCCTCCAATCCCAGATTAACGGATTGCTGGTGGAATACTGGACATCATAGGCTGGAGTACGGGTCGTTGTGGCGGGCTGGTGGTGACGCTCCGCTTGTCTTAAACTGACGAGTCGCAGCGTGGGTTCCCGCGTGCTCAGCGAGTCACGCATGGCGGTGCCACTACCACCACCAGCCCCACTAACACCATCCACTGATGTCTGTGGCCCACCATGCCAAGTGTACCACATCATCCTCACTATCACTACCTAAAATGGGTGAAGGACCACGGGAAGTACTCCGGGATGAACCCGTCCCCTGGGCACAGCATAGGGTACCTACCCGAGCGCATGCGGCGGCGAACATACCACGCTTCACTGGGTGAATATGTTTTCCTCACTATCACTAACTCGAATGATCGTCGAGCGCAATAAAATCAACAATCCACGTCAGAATCATCGGCATTACTGAAGTCAGAGGCCAGGCCACTGAAAATATTAGTTTCTCTTACTTTAGGATTAACAAACCAAGAATTGTTATAAGTAAGAGTAGAGTATATGGAGAGTAAAAGATAGTGGTTGAAGAGTGCAAAGGGAGCAGATTGATAAAGTGTGGAATAGTGCAACTGTCAAGAAAGTTTTAATAAAACCCTTTCAGGTCCGTCCCGAAATCCTACGGTCTGGTCGGTGAGTGTCCAAACCGTAGATCTACGCCAAAATTTCTAAGCCGCCGTCAAAATTAGCGCGAAAGCGCTCATAGGCCTACATATGATAGAATGGGTCATGCGCGGTGGGTGTGTGCCGTAAACAAAAATTCTAGGCGCCTGCAATAGCATTGTGGGAACACCGGCTCAGTCACCCTTGATCACTCATGTCTCTGTCGCAAGGTCAGCTCTCATCTCCCCGGAAAATTGGGACTCCTCCTCTTCCTGTCTGATATTTCTGACACTGACGAAGTGGAAATGAAGACGAATTTCCTACGGCTTGATGATTTAGTGACCGAAAATAATGACCAGGATATCGATAATAGTGCAGAAAACCCCGACGGTCCTCGACCTTCTACCTCTGGGTTGTGGGGCACTTGTCTCGTGACGCACGGTTCGTTTGTTCCTAAACTAAGAAAACTAATATTTTCCCCGTGACTGGCCTCTGACTTCAGTAATGAACGATGATTCTGACGTGGATTGTGATTTTATTGCTCTCGACGATCAACCAGTAGTATAGTGAGTAACAATTCACCAGTTGAAGCTCGGTATGTTGCGCGCGCAATGCGCTCGGTAGTGAACCCAATGCTATGCCCAGGGGACGGAGTAAATCCCCGTAGACATCCCGGAGTTATAATCCCGTGCCCTACACCCGATTTAGGTAGTGATAGTGAGGATGATTGCCTACACTTGGCATGGATGGGCCCACAGACATCATGATGGTGTTAGTGGGCTGGTGTGTGGTAGTGGCAAAACCGCCATGCGTGACTCGCTGTGGCCACGCGCGGGAACCCACGCTGCAGACATCGTCAGTTCAAGGACAAAGCGGAGCGTCACCCACCGAGCCCGCACATAACCACCTGTACACCCTGCCTATGATGTCCAGTCCACCAGCAAACCGTATCTGGGATTGGCAGCAAAATCCCCAATTTTGTATCCCAAGCCCTCACCACTTTGATTACATCGCAAAGTGGAATTCTACCTACCTGTCCCCTTGGAACCACGGCCAATAACTGGAATTCTTTGAATTATTCTTTGACCAGCCAATTGATGGAAACTATTGTCCTAGGAAAGTAATAAGTATTTTCAGTACACAGAGGTAGAAGGTCGAGGATCGTCGGGGTTTTCTGCACTATTATCGATATCCTGGTCATTATTTTCGGTCACTAACTTATCAAAGCCGTAGAATTCGTCTTCATTTCCACTTCCATCAGTGTCAGAACTATCAGACAGGAAGAGGAGAGTCCCAATTTTCCGGGGAGTGAGAGCTGATTTGCGACGAGACATGGTGAACAAGGGTGACTGAGCCGGCGTTCCCACAATGCTATGCAGGCGCCTAGATTTTTTGTTTATGGCGCACACCCACGGCGCAGACCCATTCTCTCATATGTAGGCCTATGAGCGCTTTCGCGCTAAATTTGACGGAGCTAGAATTTTGGCGTAGATCTACGGTTTGGACACTCACCGACCAGCCATAGATCTACGGGACGGACCCTGAAAGGGTTAAGCAATGTGTATAGACAAAAGTGTTCAAAGAGATAGAGAGCGTAAGTGATTTGAAATGTACCTTTATAGGTGTGACTTCTTTCTTATATTCCACTCAATCATTTCCCTGTCCTTGGCTACATTTTCTTTGTTTTCCTGTCTAAATGCAGTGTTGCTGAAACACTCATGGCTTATTAGTTATTCCAAAACTTTTCTTTTTTCAGTGCTCTAACAACTGACGATGAAAGGCGACAACTATCCCAGTTGATTATATCTTTTATTCGGCAAGTTAATTTTGGTCGAGACTTTGAGCAACAGTTAGACTTTTATGTTAATGCTCGGGCTGCCTTTTCCAACCTGGACACAGTGCTGGTCTCTCTTGTACAGGTAATACTTAAAAAATAAAAAAATCTAAATGTATCACTCTTGTTCAAATGCTGTCTTATATGTATCACAAAAAAATAAAAAATCTAAATGTATCACTCTTGTTCAAATGCTGTCTTATATGTATCGCACAAGGTATAACAATGACAGATATATAAATTAGACTTGAAATGTTTGGAATTTCTTATTAGGATATATTGCACTCACTAGGAGCATTTTCAGTCTTAGAGTGAAGAAAATGTGGGTAAATATAGCAGAGAAAGACAGGTGTAATGTAGTCACAGTGTGTGGCATACTGTGGCTTCACCTGAAATCTATGTTTAGGTAGCCCAGGATTAGTATTTCCCAATGGATAACTGATCCAAAGCAGTAACATCAATGCAGAGTTTCTTCTCTGTAGATGAGTCTGGCCTCACTCCAGTGTAACTGTGATTTTGCTGGTGAATATTCATAATTAGAAAAAAAGTACTGTGATGGATCTCTCACCTTGCTGTGCTGGATGATGAGCATTGCTGGAGATTGAGTGGCTGACTGTATGTATGTGTTATATACAATATTATTCATCTTTACTACAGTATGAGTTTATAAACTACTGTAAATATAACATGACTTGTATCATTTTCAGTGTGTGTGTCGGCTAGCAATGGCAACATGGAATGTGATGCACAGTCAGCACTCCGGCAAGACAGCATCATTTGTTCGTGCTTGTGCTGCATATTGCTTCATTACTGTGCCTTCCCTAGCATACTCTACAACCCGTCTCAAACTTTATCTACTCTCAGGCACTGTAGCACTAATAAATAATTGTTTAGGCCAAGGTAAATGTTTCTCACGCTATCTATGCAGTTATTGATATTGCAGGTATATGATCATGATTCATGTGTTGTTGGATATTCGTGATTTTCAGTTGGAAAACTTTGAATGTTTTTGGAACAGTAAATATTTTAATGGCAGGAAGGGAAGAAAAGAGAGAGAGTTGTAAAGGCAAAATAATAAAAGATTGTGGGACAAGTTGTCTTATCATGTAATAACAATATCAAATGGTAAGAAGAAACTGGGATAATTATCAGGCATTGGAGTGGGAGAAAGTGGAGCAAAAATTCCTATTCAGAAAACAGTATTGAAAAAAGATATGTTAGCAACTACAATTACATTCAGAACAGGAAGATGAAGGTTACAGACATAGATTGGATTCATTAAAAGGAATAATGTTTCTTGAATAAATAAAAAAAGTACCAGACTCATCAGCCATTGTAGTACAGTACAGGAATAGGTTTAATAGGGAGAAACAAAAATTGTATTGCAGTTGGGTCGATGTACATACCAAGGAATACTCCAAAAGTTGTAATTAAGCACATAAGGAAATTAATGTCAAACAAATAATTAATAAAGGTTAGTAGACTATTTCATGAATGCTATAGATTTACAAAATGATGTCGGGCATATTACTTTTGTTAGTAGTAAACTGTATGTTATTGTTATTTGAACCAGTTCTTCACAATGAATATCATAATAATGCTCAGTTTATATCTACAATTTTATTCACATAAATCATTACATGAAATTGTTGGGTAAATAATCTTTGATTACAGATAATAGTATACATTTCATAAGGTTTACATTTGTATAGGTTGTATTGATAATGGCACTTTAAAAATTCCTTATACATGTATATGCATGAGTATGTTAGATAGGAGTGAATGGCGATGAATGGCTTTTGGGACCTGACAAGCTGTTGTAGTGTGAGCAGGGTAATATTTAGTGAAGGGATTCAGGGAAACTGGTTATTATAGATTTAGCTGGACTTGAGTCCTAGAAATGGGAAGTACAATGCCTGCACTTTAAAGGTGTCTGGGATATTGACAGTTTGGAGGGACTTCTAAACTGTCGTATCTGAGCGCCTCTGCAAAGACAGTGATTATGTATGAGTGAGGTGAAAGTGTTGAATGATGATGAAATTATTTTCTTTTTGGGGATTTTTTCTTACTTTTTGGGTCACTGTACCTCAGTGGGAGATGGCTGACTTGTTGAAAAAAAAAATATTAATAATAATTATAATTAGTGTAATATAATTATAGTAATAACACATATTAATAATAACAAGTGAGCTTCAGAACACCATCACTAGTTGGTACAGCGAACACCACAACATCAGCTGAGCAGGCAGTACACATGTTTACGTCACCGTGGAAGCATTTCTCGTGTTTTGCATGCATTGTGTAGAGTTATTTTGCCAAATTTCTTTTTTCTAACCATGTGTCCTAAGAAAGTTAAGTGCAAAGGACAGTGCTGAGAAGAAAAAGAGGATGATGTCCATAGAAGTAAAGCAGGAAATCATAGATACACACAAGCTTGGTGTGTGGGTTGTGGACTTGGCCAGACAGTACCCGCGTAGTACATGTACTTCTACCATATGTACAATGCTAAAGCAGGAGGAGTCGATAAAGTGTAGCATTAAGAGTGTAGCAAGTAAGTTAAGCGATTAAGCGATAGAAAAAGTACAAAACAAAACGAACTCCTCCAGTCTCCTCTGCCTGTCTTTGTTGTTGGGGTTTATAGGGCCACTGACAGCATATGCCGCTCTGCCTATCCCACCCTCAACCACCAAAATATAACCAGTTTTTTTCATTACATTCTATATTATGTTATTATTTTTTATTTTTTTATTATCACACTGGCCGAATCCCACCAAGGCAGGGTGGCCCGAAAAAGAAAAACTTTCACCATCATTCCCTCCATCACTGTCTTGCCAGAAGGGTGCTTTACACTACAGTTTTTAAACTGCAACATTAACACCCCTCCTTCAGAGTGCAGGCACTGTACTTCCCATCTCCAGGACTCAAGTCCGGCCTGCCGGTTTCCCTGAACCCCTTCATAAATGTTACTTTGCTCACACTCCAACAGCACGTCAAGTATTAAAAACCATTCGTCTCCATTCACTCCTATCAAACACGCTCACGCACACCTGCTGGAAGTCCAAGCCCCTCGCACACAAAACCTCCTTTACCCCCTCCCTCCAACCTTTCCTAGGCCAACCCCTACCCCGCCTTCCTTCCACTACAGACTGATACACTCTTGAAGTCATTCTGTTTCGCTCCATTCTCTCTACATGTCCGAACCACCTCAACAACCCTTCCTCAGCCCTCTGGACAACAGTTTTGGTAATCCCGCACCTCCTCCTAACTTCCAAACTACGAATTCTCTGCATTATATTCACACCACACATTGCCCTCAGACATGACATCTCCACTGCCTCCAGCCTTGTATGTTATCATACAATATTTCTAATTTATAAATACATTGTTTCAGTATTTTCCTTATGAAACTAGTGATCTAGTACTGTTAGCGTTACAAACTGTTTTCTCTTACAATAAGACCTCTGAAGAGAAAGCATGGTCAGTGCAGGAGCAGCAGTGGCCATTGCCGTTCATCACATAATGATATATTCTATTTGTGTTATTTTTATTGTATATTATGTCATGTTAGATGAATTGTGATAGATAAATAAGCCGTATAGTTTATATTAGCATCATATTGAAGTATTTTGTTCTGCCTCCAGAGAGCGGGAATTCCATTGGAACAGATTAATGGCATTTCAATTAATTAAATGAGGAAAATTGATTTGATATACAAGCAAATTGAGTTACGAGCTAGGTCACAGAACAGATTAAACTCGTAAGTCGAGGTTCCACTGTGTCACCATTATTCACACGTAATCACTGTTGTTGCAGAGGCATACAGATACAAGAGTAACATATCACTCTAAATGGCAATTATCCCAAACCCCCCCTTCTTTAAAGTGCAAGCATTGTTCTTCCTACCTCCAGGACTCAAGTCCGGCTAACTGTTTTCCCTAAATCCCTTCACAAAATATTACCTTGCTCATGCTCCAACAGCTCATCAAGTACCAAAAACCATTCATCTCCACTCACTCCTATCTAACATGCTCACACTACAACACACAGTTTTATGACTTATTGTTTAATATAATAGTATAATTGCAGGAGATGCATGCATGAAGGCTGCCATCATGGAGGTGTTGGAAATAGAAGGCTCAACAGAATCGGCTCCCACTTCTCAAGTTCTCCGATTATTAGTTGCCAATTTAGCTTCCACCTTGGTTGCTACACCAGATCCTCCTGATGCCTCTCCACCATTATATTTGCTTCGTGGTCTTACTAATGCTTTACGATCCAGCTCGTGGCAAAAAGAAACAGACATTCAAGCTGTCTTGTCAATTTCATTACTACATGCTCTTTCTGCAGCATCTCAGGATAGTTTACCTTACCATATTCACTCAGGTGAGGTTCACTGTAAATATAATCAGCAGAGGAATTGTAAGAAGGAAGTCTTGTCTTGGAGTAACATTTTTGCATTTCATGTCTAAGAATAAAAGCCTTTATAATGAAGAATATTTTTCATTAATAGATTAATGAACAGTGGGAGATGGCCGATGTGTTAAAAAAAAAAAAAAGGAAAATATGGCATAGCCAGTTAGACTTAGAGTGGGAGCCAGCACAATCTATACAGTGTTACAGTGCAATTGGGAGATTCAGAAGAGGAGCTGTAACTTTTATAGAGAAGTGTGGAAGGTTTGTAAAAGAATGAAGTTGAACTTCATTATTATTTCATTCATAGGGGAATGCTAAACCCATAGGGGTAATATAAATAAATAAATCTTTATTTCTGCAAGTACATATACAAAATATACAGGCCTAGCTGACATCAGTCACATACTATTATATAAAGCCTCTTGTTATGCAGAGCATTTCAGACAAATTAGGTCAATTTTGTCCACAGGATGTTACCCACACCAGTCGACTAACACCCAGGCACTTATTTTACTGATAGACGAACATGGACAGCAGGTGTCTTAAGGAAACACATCCTCATGTTTCCAGCTGTAGTGCCCGAGGAGGAGAGCACAGGTCCAGTTCCTGAGATCAAGAGCCTTTCACTGGCATCAAGGAACCTCCCTTGAGGGGAAGTTGAAAGTTAATGCATAAAAGAGAAAAAGTGATGAGAATAAGTAGATGAAATATAGGGAATGAAATGTTGGAGGTGAGAATGAAAGAAAAAAGTGTACAGGAAGTGAAAATTGTCAAATCCAATATTGGCAGTTTGGAGGGATATATTGTATATTTTTACACGTATATACTTCTAAACTGTTGTATTCTGGGCACCTCTGCAAAAACAGTGATTATGTGTGAGTGAGGTGAAAGTGTTGAATAATGAAAGTATTTTCTTTTTGGAGATTTTCTTTCTTTTTGGGTCACCCTGCCTCGGTGGAAGACGACCGACTTGTTGAAAAAAAAAAAAAAAGTAGCAACAGATGGATATAAAAAGAATGATATAAATCACATAGTAGGAGAGCAAAGAAAGCTCATTGTTGTCAAGGAGTCTGTAGGGAGAAATAAATTTGTCAGTAGCTGCAAAAATAAGAATGTATTTACCTGTTGGCCACCATATTTACTGACCTTGAGATGGACTGGAAAGCTTGGGACTTGTATAGCATCCCTTCATTTTCTGCAATGAGTTTTTCCAGTTCAGTTTTAGTTTGTAGTTTGTCTTGGTTGTACACTGTCTAGGAGAGAGAAAAACTATAGTCTGTTCTACTTTGTGGCAAAAGAGACAAAGAGGGAAAGGATGTGTGAAGTAATAGCATACAAAACATCAAGTCAGACAACAGTCATAGCTGTGTCTTGAAGCTGAAAATCAATTCAAATATAATTTAACAGTCTTTAATTTACAGGTTTGTAATGAATGCAAGTGCTTTAACCCTTTGACTGTTTTGGTCTTATATACACATCTTACAAGCCACCGTTTTTGATGTATATATATTCATAAATTCTAGCGGCTTCAAATCAAGCAGGAGAAAGCTGGTAGGCCCACAAGTGAGAGAACGGGTCTGTGTGGTCAGTGTGCACCATATAAAAAAAATCCTGTAGCACGCAGTGCATAATGAGAAAAAAAAACTCCGACCGTTTTTTTTTAATTAAAATGCCGAATTTGTGGTCTATTTTTGTATAGTATTTATGGTTGTATTCTTGTTTTCTTGGTCTCATTTGATAGAATGGAAAACGTATTATAGAAATTGAGGTGATATTGATTGGTTTTACTATGAAAAGAACCTTGAAATGGAGCTCAAAGTAGGGGAAATGTTTGATTTTTGCCGATGTTCAAAAGTAAACAAATGATGTCGTTTTCCAATATATGTCCAAGTAGCCATTCTAATATGCAGTCATGAATGGGTTGACATTATTTATACAATTATTACAATATTCCAGTAGTCTGCATAACAGTAAATTTTCTATTTTTTGTTTGAATAAAAATTCAAAATAGAAAGCAAGAGTAATATCAGAGGGGCCTGGAGACGTGGCTGATGAACAAAGAAAATGTTATTTTAGAGCCAGGAATGTCTGCATTGTTCATTCTGGACCCTATTTTGAAATTGTCATTTTTTAATTTTCGTGAAATTGGCCAAATTGCAAATTTCTGACCACATTGTTGGGTAGTTGAAATTGGTAAATGGGCGGTTCTTGTACTCATTCGATAGAAAGAATGGAGTTCTAAAGAAATAGCTATGAGTTTGGTTGACTGGAATAATGGAATTAGCCGAAAATAGGGCTCAAAGTGGGCGAAATCACTGATTCGTAAATATCGCCGAGTTCACTAATTTCATGAGAGCGTAATTCCGTCGGTTTTCCATCAAATTTTATTCTTTTGGTGTCATTACAATCGGGAAAAGATTCTCTATCATTTAGTAAAAAAATAATTTTTTGGGGGGGGGGAAATTTTGCGACCCCAGGAGACACCTCAGGATGTGGGGTTGCGACAGTCAAGGGGTTAAGACCGCCTTAATATAAAACAAATAGTGTATTAATTTATTTTATGTTAAACCAAGACATGAATGATTTATTTGGATGGAGGAGATAGTGGAGGTACAGTGGCCATCACTATTTTGTGTTGCTCTCTCTCTTTATGTTTCTCCACTTATGAACAAGTAATTAATTAATCAGATAGTATGTCTCCTTTTTAATACAGCATGTAGTATTGGCTGGTCAAAAGCATTATTTTATATCTTCTCTAAGTAGTTATGTAAAATATTGACTTGCAAGTACAATTTTATAAACTTATAAAAAGTTATAGATGTGTATATTACTCATTACTTGGCTTGAGGAGTTGTGCTTAGCAATATTATTGTCTCTCTTTGTCGTAATCAAAAAATCCTCTGTATGGGAAAGTTCCTGATCCTGAGGGTTTCAGGTTAACAAAGTGTGACTCAATATACAGTACATGCCATGCCATGTCATAATATAACCTAAAGATAATTTATTGAAAAGTTGATATTAAAAGGGAAAATAAATTTTCTTTCTTCTTTCATCAAACCATCCATATCCCACCAAAGCAAGGTGGCCCAGTAAGAAAATCAAAAGTTTCTTTTGTTAAATTTAGTATTTTACACAGAAGGGGTTACTAGCCCCTTGCTCCCTGTATTTTAGTAGTTTCTTACGACATGCATGGCTTACGGAGGAAGAATTGTGTTCTACTTCCCCATGGAGATAAGAGGAAATAAACAAGAACAATGACTAGTAAGAAAAATAAAAGAAAACCCAGAGAGGTGTGTGTATATATATGCTTGTACATGCATATGTAGTGTGACATAAGTGTAAGTAGAAGCAGCAAGACGTACCTGAAATCTTGCATGTTTATAAGACAGAAAAAATACACCTATCCTACCATCATGTAAAACAATTACAGGCTTTCATTTTACACTCACTTGGCAGGGACAGTAGTACCTCCCTGGGCAGTTGCTGTCTACCAACCTACTACTACCTAAATAAAAGGGAAAATATGTATGATAAATCCTCTTTCATGTGTGATACTGCACTACATAGAGCTTAACTGCTAATAATTAAAATTAAGAAAATTCATAAAAAAAATTGATTAATGCTAAATATTCCCAGACATCAGTGTAACATTATAGAGCTTTAACATAGCATAAGGATATAGAATATTAAAGCTTGTTAACAGAATCTGTTTCTTTCTGCAGTTGAGGGTAATGATTCACTGTATGGAGGAGACCCAAAAGTACAGCAAGAGGCAGAACAATTATGTACAACACTGTTACATAATATTCTCTTGCACATACAGGTAAGCTACTAGCTTGATACTAATTTGCTATTTGTGGAAATAAAGAGTAAATGAGTGTATGTATTACAATATATAGAATTAATAGAATGAAATTTGGAGTATCATAACTGAATTTTCAACTAAAAACAGAAGTTAGAATAGTATAATATTGTGAGGGTTTAGTGAACTATAATAGGCTGAAGGCTAAAGGAAAAGGTTTAACCCATGAACTGCCCATATCACCTATGTGTTTTCACAATTTTGTGAAAAAAAATTATTTTGTCCTATTAAAATGTAGAGAATTTTTTTTTTAAAGTTTAAGAATCCTGCAGCCTGCATTATGAGATTAATACACTATTGCATATAGATTATTTTTTTTTTGTTAGTAATGTGCAAGTTGTTCTCATGAAGATGAGACTCCATTACTTGAGTCCAGGGAACCTGGGGTTAGGATGTTAAAAAAGTGTTCATTCCCTGTGTAGCAGATATATTAACTAAATATTGTTTTAAGTTTAAGCATTATTACAAGGAGCATGCATCACTACATTTATACTTGATGTGCTTAATTAATGATTCCTTAATTGCCAAATAGCAGGTCATTGAAAGTAAACTCATCAATCTTATTGGTCTTTATTATTGCCAGGAGCAAGGAGCTAGTAACCCCCTCTCCTGTATAAATTACTGAATGTAAAAATAAAAACTTGTTTTCTTTTTTTATCTTTTGGGTCACCCTGCCTTGGTGGGAGATGGCTGGTGTTAACCCTTTCGGGGTTTCGGTCGTACTAGTACGGCTTATGCGCCAGGTTTTTTGACGTACTAGTACGCATAAATTCTAGCGCCCTCAAATCTAGCAAGAGAAAGCTGGTAGGCCTACATATGAAAGAATGGGTCTATGTGGTCATTGTGCGCAGTATAAAAAAAATCCTGCAGCACACAGTGCGTAATGAGAAAAAAAAAACTTTGACCATGTTTTTGGTTTAAAACAGTGACTTTGCACTGTATTTTTGTATGGTATTTATGGTTGTATTCTAGTTTTCCTGGTCTTATTTTATAGAATGGAAGACATATTACAGAAATTGAGATGATTTTGATTGGTTTCACAATGAAAAGTACCTTGAAATTGAGCTCAAAATAGAAGAAATGTTCGATTTTTGCCAAAGTTCAAAAGTAAACAAAAAATGCCACGCGTCCAATACATGTCAACTGGTGAATCTAATATTCTTTCACAAGTGTGCTGGTATTATTTATACCATTTCTACACTACAGTAGTCTGCATAACAGTAAATCTTCTATTTTTTGTGAGAATAAAAATTTAAAGTGGAAAGCAAAAGAAATGTAAGAGGGGAGTGGGGATGTGACTAATGAACAGAGGAAATGTTATTTTAGTGCCAGGAATGTCTTTCTTGTTTATTCTGGACCCTATTTGGAAATTGGCATCTTTTGAAATTTGTGAGAAATTGGCAAAATTGCTAAATTCTGACCACTTTGTTGGATAGTTGAAATCGGTAAATGGGTGGTTTCTTGTACTCATTCGATAGAAAAAACGGAGTTCTAGCGAAATAGTTATGATTTTTGTCGACTAGTACACTGGATTTGGCCGAAAATAGGGCTCAAAGTGGGCAAAATTACCGATGCGTAAACATCGTCGAGACCGCTAACTTTGCGAAAGCATAATTCCGTAAGTTTTCCATCAAATTTCATACTTTTGTTGTCATTATGAGCAGGAAAAGATTCTCTATCTTTTCATAAGAATAAGTCTCTGAGAGGGCCTTAAATGGTTAAAAAAAAATTCTCTATCATGTATACAATACACTATAGTATGTACCAGTACATATACAAAAATTACTGTGATCTAGTAGGGTC